GAGGATCGCTTGAGCCCAGGAGTTTGAGGTTGCAGTGAGCTACGATGACACCACTGCACTCTACCCAGGGTGACAGAGCGAGACTCTTATCTCAAAAAAAGAACCTCACTTTCCACCCCTTCGTGTTAGAAAAAAATAAAAAGTAAAAAACAACAAAAAAAATAGTGGACGTATAATGAATCCCTCACTCTGTTCTTGCCCCCCATCTACCTCCCAAAAATGAACAGAGTGACAGAGTGATGAAATGATTGCAACTGAAAACATTATACAGATACCTCTCTGCTGAAGTATGAATTCATGGGTGGTTTTTTCTTTCTCTTTTTTTTTTTTTTTTTTGAGACAGAGTCTCACTTTGTTGCCCAGGCTAGAGTGAGTGCCGTGGCGTCCTAGCTCACAGCAACCTCAAACTCCTGGGCTCGAGTGATCCTTCTGCCTCAGCCTCCCGGGTAGCTGGGACTACAGGCATGCACCACCATGCCCGGCTAATTTTTTCTATATATATCAGTTGGCCAATTAATTTCTTTCTATTTATAGTAGAGACGGGGTCTCGCTCTTGCTCAGGCTGGTTTTGAACTCCTGACCTTGAGCAATCCGCCCGCCTCGGCCTCCCAAGAGCTAGGATTACAGGCGTGAGCCACAGCGCCCGGCCTCTTTCTCTTTTTTGAGTGTGAGTTAGGGGAAGGTGGTGGTGGAGGATTGGGGAAATGGATGGGCCCACCATTGTATAAAAAACAAAGAATTAAACTTGGATATTGGGAGGAAGTCACACATCATTTTGAGTAGGCAGTGGCCCCTTGGGGTGATGCTAGCCCACCCTGGTCTCACTGTCCCCTCTCCTTCAGGGGAGCAAGACCAAGGAGCACAAGTCCCAATATTAAAGTGCCCTTCCTACTTTTTCATCAGGACATGGTGCAGATGAAGGCTGGTATGTACTGCAAGGCATGTGAGTTCGTGGTGAAGGAGGTGGTCAATCTGCTTGACAGCAAGAAGACTGAGGTATGCTGTCCTTGGAGAGGTCGAGTGGACGAGGGGGCTTGGCCCTTGCTGTTGTGCTATACCAGCCTGGGAACATGTACAGCCATGTCCCTGTCCTTTAGAAGGCAGTCCCTCCTGGCTGGGAGTGGGGAGTCCACGGTAGCCCTGCTTTGCAGCTCTGGTCTTTGTAGTTTGTCTTTTGAGGAAGGAAATAGCACCCAACTCTTGGCTCGTACCCTGGTCTTGTTAGTATTTTCAGAATCTCTCCCACCCTCGCCCAGCCTCCCATGGTCCTCTCCTTGTGTTTCAGGAAGAAATACTCCATGGTTTGGATAAGGTATGCTTAAAGTTGCCCAAGTCCTGGGTGGAAGAGTGCCAGGAGGTGGTGAACACATACGGCACATCCATCATTAGCATGTTGCACGACACCAGCCCTGAGCTGGTGTGCAGCTTGATCCACCTCTGCTCCCGCACGGAGTGGCCCGAACTGACTGGTGAGCCCAGGGCGCGGTGCTGGTGGGGAGGACAGCGGCCCTCTTGGGTCTGGGAGGGTCCTGCCAGCATTGAGCCCTGTGCCTTCCTGTGTAGCACAAGCGATTGAAGTGAAGGATGGTGGCTTCTGTGAGGTATGCAAGAAACTGGTTAGCTATTTGGATCACAATCTGGAGAAAAACAGCACCAAGCAAGAGATCCTGGATGCTCTTGAGAAAGGCTGCAGCTTCCTGCCTGACCCCTACAAGAAGCAGGTACACTTTAGGCCAGAGTGTCAGAACCTCCTGGGAGCGTGCAGAGGCTGGGAAGCCCACTGATTGTACTTCTGATTCAAGTTTTGAGGGAGGGAAGCTAGCTGTTTTTGCCTCACTTAGGTGGAGTCTAGTGAGGTTTTAGTTAGACATGATTTGTTGGGTCAGGTAGAGCCACTGAGGAGAAACAATCTGATCTTAGGCCAAGTGTGGTGGGTGTCTGGGAAGGGACGGCTCAGAGCCCAGTGGCCTGGGAATGTCAGGGACTCCGGGAGAAGAGTGTGTCCAGTGCCTGTGCCAGCGTTTCGTGCTCCCACTCTGCTTGGATGCACCCAGACCTGGACCTGTCCCCCCTTCACTTTGCAGTGTGATCAGTTTGTGACCGAGTATGAGCCTGTGCTGCTAGAGGTCCTGGTGGAGGTGATGGAGCCTTCCTTCGTGTGCTTGGTGAGCGTCGCCGGGCACGTGGGTCCCCTCGGGCAGATGTGACCTGGGAGGGGCTGCATAGACCTGGAAAGGTTCCTCTGAGACTGTCGGCCTCGAGGCAGGGTTTCTGGGGGTGGAGAGTGGAGGACTGAGGCAGGGAGTCAGGCCTGGAAGCCCCATTGCTTTACTCAGCAATCCTGGTGTTCTTCTGAAATATCTCAGAATCTAGCTGCTTCTGGAAGCTGTTGTCTTAGTGTTGAAAGAGATCAGTTGGGCAGCTCTAATTCTCCCCTTTCTTTTGTCCTTTTCTTACCATATAGAAAATTGGAGCCTGCCCTTCAGCCCCTAAGCCCCTTTTGGGAACAGAAAAGTGTGTCTGGGGCCCAGGCTACTGGTGCCAGAACGCAGAGACAGCAGCCCAATGCAACGTGAGTAGCTCAGCCTGGTGGCCCCACGAGCCTCGCCAGCCAGGCAGCTCTGAATCCTGCTGTAGCAGGAGCCTCAGTCATCAGCTCTCTACCCTGTTTCTATACAGTGGAAACAGGCCCTGAATGGCAGGCTTCCTCACCGCTGCCCAGCCACGGCCGGGCTAACTACACGATTGCGTTTAGGGAGTGGAGCATGTGGGCTGATATATTCTTTAGCATTTTTTTGCTTTTGTTTTCAGTTCACTTGTGACAGTGTCAGATTTGCACAAGGTCACTCCAGGGATTTCACAAGGCCTGTGGGACTTACTGCCCAGACCGTTGCCCAAGTCCTCCGGTCCTGGGGCATGTTTGCCCTGGCTGCAGCCTGGCCTGAGTCTTCGCTCAAATCCAAGCAGAGCTCTTCTGGAACAGCACTGAGAGAGGGGGCCCCTGCCCAGCAGGCTGAGGGTGCCATGGGCACCGCCCTGGCCGGGCAGTTACCAGTTGGGTGACTGCACTGCTTTCCTGGGCGGGGATGTTTGGTCTGGCCCGTTACTTAATGTTTCTTTGCGCAACTTTTTCTTCCCCACTGGGGTTTCTTGTGTGACCGTGTGAGGGGATATTGTGTCATCGCAGGCCACTGTGGGGAAGGGCAGAGGGGCCCACACCCTGGCCATGTCCAGCTCCTTCCTTCAGCCCAGGCTGCAGCCCAGCTGCACCATCACCCCCACCCCATGGCACAGTCAGTGGTGGAACTGGTTTTGCCACTGTCCTGGGTAAATGTGCCTATGATCCACTTCTCAAGGCCTGCGAGCTGTTGGTGAGGAGGTTCCACTTGGGATCTCTGCAGGATGCCGCATGCCAGGTGTGAGCAGGTAAAGGGCCCGGAGCTGGGCCTGCGTGGGCGCTCATCTGCGACATGCTAAAGGCCTTTGCATCTGCTGCTCTGACTCTTGCCTTATGGGCCCCTAAAGCTCTGATGGCCACGTGCTCCCTGGTTTTACATGAGATACTGTCCTTGGTCTTCAGTGTCTGGTACCATCCAGCTAACCTAGGACACATATGGGTCTTGTTTTTGGGTGATGTCTGATATATTAATGGACAAGGAATGGAGGTGGTTGTCTGAAGACTAAACCCAGTTTCCTCTCTCCTGCCAGGCTGTGGAACATTGTAAACGTCACGTGTGGAACTAGAAGGAACATTGCATCTTGCAGAAACCGCAGCATCTTTTCCTACTTGTGTGTCTGGCAGAATGAACGCACAGATCTATTTGACTTTGTTATGAAAATAGGACCCCCCCCCATTTTACCCCCTCATTGTAGCATTGCTGTCCATGTGGGAGGCAGCCCTGCTGACATAACTGCTTCAGTGTCCCTTTTCTCTGCTCGACGGATGATGACGTAATGTGCATTGGAGGTCTTGCATGGCACCTACTGGAGAAGGAGAAGGGGCTCTTGCTGCTGGCATGGTTTTATTGGCAGGAGGCCATCCTCCCTCCTCTTGGCTGGAGTCTTGATTTGAGTCTGAGGCTGCCTCCTACCCTAAGGCAGGCTCCTCTCCCCTTCCTGTGCCTGTCGGCTGCTGTACAAGGCAGCAAAACCAGTTTTATATGGAAGAGTAGATGCTCAGAATCAGGCTTTTAAAATAATTTCCATTGTAATAGCACAGATTTTGGAAGCAGCCACTGGTGGCTCAGGGGACAGTGGTGGGGCAGAGGGTTCGCCATGCCTGGGTCAACTCTTGACTCAGCTTTCTCGTGTCTTTCCTGGGGATGCCTTGTCTAGGTTCTGTGGGTTTGGGTGGGAAGGGGGACATCTGCCTAAATGTAACCTGCTAGCTCTCCAGGGAGTCCTGTGGGCCTGGCTTGTGTGTGTAAATGCGTAAACAGTGGTGGCTGCCTCTTCCCTGCTCGTGCACCCTTCCCCCATCCTACAGATGCTCTTTGGACCTTTCATTTCAAATAAATGTAGATGACAAGCTCCTAAGCCTCTGGCTTCCTGGTAGAGGGTGACAAAGCTGAGGGGTCTGTAGGTGTGGGTGTGCATACTGTCTGGGGTCTTGGCTGCTGTACTTTTCACCATCAAAGCTTCTGTTCCACTTCTGGTTGCCGAGATACTAGCAAAGCCAGTAAGACGTGCAGTTGCTATTAAATGGACTTGATTTTTGTTTGTTTTGCACTGAAGTTTCTCTGATTTAACAATAAAGTTCTGTTAACCAGATCTGGGCCTGAGTTTCTGTGACACTTGGCCAGGAAGAGTTTGTTCTGAGCCCCTAGCAGCCCTATGACTCCTCTCAGCCAGAGAAAGCAAAGTAGGTAAAGAAAAAGTCCTGCCTGAGAGAGGCCCCCGAGAGACCAGAGACCAGGCCAGCAGGGGAGCACCTGAAGGTCGGGCCCCGTCACCCCCTCCACACCCTGCCCATCACCCCCACAGGCCAGCCACGCAGGTAGTTTACCAGAGCCAGAGTGTATTGCCGGTTCCTCGTGAGTTGCTTCTCTTTTTAAACAGACCATTCCAGAAACTTTCAGTGAGTACCAGTTAAACAAGTCCAAGGGAGAAATATTGAGGGAATAATTTAAAAGAGTACACACAAACACTACATTCAAAACCCAAGGGAGCAGCAGTCATTTCTCTTTATAAGCTGGGCACGTTTGGGAAGCCAGTGAAATGGAGAGAATGCTTGTTCATTGACATTGACCTTGTCCACGGGGGTGGCAAAGATCACTCACTGCTCCACCTGGACGTCCAGCGGGGATGGGGCAGAAATGCAATGGGACTTGAGCTGAAGTTAAGGTGTGGGACCAGCAGGGGATACCCACCTCCCTCCCCCGGGTGTCTGTCTCCTGCTCTGGGGGGCACAGGGTCTGCGTGGGGTGGGTGGTACTTGCTGGGATGGAGTGGAAAGGGGAAAGGGGGCCTGCTCAGCCCCTTCCAGCTCAGCCTGAGCCGAGTTGGTTCTCAGACTCCTGGGCGCCCAGTAACCCTCCTTACCTTGTCCTTAGACGCCTAGCATTTTTGTTTGGTTTTCTTAAAAAAATAACAGATTTTATGAAGGTAGAGATCAGGTGCTGAATGAGTGTCTGGCAAAAGTGGAATCTGTCCAAGGAGCTCATGTGGGCTGCCAGGGCCAACCCAAGGTTGTCCCCACAGTACTGGCCTGGGGAGGGGGCCCCGGCCCTGCCCCTGCGCTTGCCCTGGGAAGGGGTGGCGGGGCGGGCACTGCTCACACCAGGGAGGCTTCCCTGTCCAGTCACAGCTCCGTGATCTCCAGGGGGCTCTCCATGATCACATCTCGAAGCTTGTGCAGGGGTGTGGATTTGGCGGACTCCGTGCGGGCGTTGCGCTCGAAGGCGGTGGCCTCTGCGGCAGTCAGTGTCTCCAGCGAGCGGCCCAGGCCCTTCTGGTCGTCCTCAGGCAGGCTGTTGAGGTCGGTGGCCAGCAGCGTGCCTGTGCTGCCATGCACCACGTGGATCCCATCGGGCCCCTTGAGCTCCACAGGCGGCTTGTGGCAGAAGCGCAGGCTGCCCTGGCCCGGGCTTCGGTCCCCCGGCTCCTCGTCCAGCTCAGTCTGGATCAGCTGCAAGAGGCCGGGACCCCACATGCTCAGGGCCGTGCCCCAAGGAGCGAGCAGGTGGGTGGCCCCAAAGTGCCACCTGCTACGTGCCTGTTTCCTCCCTACCCTCCCGCAAGGACCCTCGGGCTCCTCCTATAGCAGGACTGTCAGCCTGTGTCAGTGTTTCTCAAACTGGGTGCAAAGGGGAACCGTGGAGGCGTTCTCAGGAGCATGGGCTTCCTGTGGAATCTTTAATTTTCTATATTCACTCTGATGCTCTATAAAAATCCTGTGATGCAGTTGTGGTATCTGGGTTTGTTACCAAGTTGGCCTCAAGCAGAATAAGCTCGAATTGTGTCCAGGTAGAAAGTGTCCACAGGACAAGTTGGAGGGGATACACGGGGTGTGGTAGAGATGTGCAGATGGCACATCTGTCCTGTGTGGGGCTATTCTGCTTTGGCCTATTCCTCCTGGGAATTTGGGCCTAGCTAGGAATCAGTTTTTAGGTAAAGTCTGGCTTTTGAAAGTATTGACATAATCATTATAGGCACACACATGGTGGGGGACAGAGAGAGAGAGAGGCACACCCCCAGGACTGGGGCACAGCACACAGCTCCCGGCCACCCGGCCGGCTACCTCGGAGATGGAGGAGTGGCAGGAGGAGGCTTTTTGCACCATCCGCTGTGCAAAGAGCTTTTTGAGCCGCAGGTAATCCTCCAGGACCACCTTCAGCAGCGAGCCCTGGGGGAGGGAGAGGGTTAACCCCCCACCAAGGCCCTCCCCTACCTGCCCCACCCCTTTCCCACTCCTGGGAGTCAAGGGTACACAGGTGTCTGGTCCTAGGGCAGAGGATCAAAAGCAGAGCCTGGTGACAGTGGCCAGCCAGAACCCACGTGGGCTCACTCTTGAGGCCTGGCCTCGAGGCCACTGCAGGCTGAGCAGCTCCCTAGCAGCCCCCGTGCCCGGGTCCCTCTGTGGCTGTGGTGTTTTCACCCCAGTGGAGGGTAAGTCTAGCTGAACCTGGGGTGTCCACCTCCCTGTATCCTCTAGAGTGGGGTCTAAGTCTAGCCAGGGGGCTGGGCACAGGAGCCTGGGGGGAGGGCTCACCTTGATGGGCCCCTCCCGAATGATCTGGCCCAGCTTGGCAATGTTGTCATACTCCTGGATGGCTGCCCGCAGGTATCGATCATCGTCAGGCTTGACCGCTGCTGGTTCACGTCCGAAAGTTCCCTGGGGAGAGGGGACATTAGCTGGAGCAGAGGTATACACCACACACAGACAGGTGAGGGGGCGCTGCCCCCGAAGAACACAGCTCCTTGGCCAGAGGCAGCAAAGACCCACCCCTTCCAGCCCCGTCCCTCACCATGGCCCGTACACCCCACCCTCTGCCCCCGCTCTGGCCCGGGCTCACGTGGGTGCGCGTGGGGCTGTTCCACAGGTCGGCGATCTCGCTCAGGTTCTCTGGCAGGTCGTCCTCGTGCTCGGCCTGGGCGGCCAGCTCCAGATTCCGACAGAAGGGATCCAGCCACACGGGGTTGGCTCTGCCATTGGGGAGCGGAATGGGGTGGGGCAAGGAGGGAGGCAGGTGCCCTTCCAGCCTCAGCCCTCCCCGATGTCCGTTTCCCTGGCTACCTGTAGTGCCTTCTAGTTCTATAGCAGAACTGGAGGTTTGGGGTCACGGGAAGCTGGCCCCCTGGCCATGGCACCCCCATCCTAGGATCCCAGTCCTCCTAGAACCAGGGTGACAGAGGCCTCATCCTGCACCGGGTGCCCAAAGTCTGTGTACAGCCCCTGGAGCTTGGGGCTGGTCCGGGATGGGGGTTTCGGAGGGTGAAGCTAGAGGGGCAATCAGTCCACCAGGGGGCGCCCAGGCCCTAGGTGTCAGCCAGTCTGTGCTCCCGCAGCACTAGGGAAGCTGGGGGCGTCTTGCTCCCGCGCTGGGTCCCCAGGCCTCCCTGCAAAGGGAACTGGCAGCGCTTGAGGACTCCACTCACCCATCAAAGGAGTACTTGTTGGTGTTAGGCATGTCCATGATGTCGATGAAGCCGCGGTTCCCTGCAGGGAGAAGGGTCACAGTGTGGAGGGAAGGGGCTCAGGCAGCCTTATGGGGGCGCCAGGGCCCCCCTCCCCTCGCTGCATGGCCCTCACTCACCTGCTGAGCCAGCCACGATGGCTTTGAGCTTCCTCTTGTGTCTGCAGAGAAGCAGAGAGAGGCGCTGGTGAGGGAGACCGGGCTGAGCTCGCATCTCAGGGCTGGTAGCCCTGCCTGCCTCTCGGCTGTCTGGGAGCCGGCGGTCAGCCCCCGGCTAGGGGCGGGAGTGGGGGACACTCACACAGTCCTGTAGTACCAGTTCATGAGGACAAAGAGCATGGCGGCCAGGAAGAGGAGGATGGCCAGGACAATGATCGCCATCTGCGGGAGAGCAGGGCCAGGCATGACCCTGGGGAGACGGGGGCCGTGGGGGGAGGGCGGGTGTCGGGGGGTGAGGTGGGGGAGTGGGACTGCCACCCTACCTGTAGGGCAGACATGTCGTCGGGCAGCTGGGCAGAGATGGCGGGCTGCACGTCCAGCACGTTGTAGTTCCGGAAAAGATTCCGCAGCTGTTCCTTGTTCTCGTCGATCATCTGGATCACCCTGGGCGAGGGGCAGGGGCCTCAGCTCCCATCCTCGGCCATCCCCCAGGAGCCGCTGCCCGGGACAGTCTGCTCTGCTCCCACCTCCAGCCCAAGTTCACCGCCCCAGGCTGCGCAAGATGAAAGCCCACCTGCCCAGGACCGCTGTGTGTCCTACCGGGCTCGTGCCTCCGCACAGGACCCTGGGGACCCTCCCGTTCCCAGGTGGGGAGAGTAAGGCTCAGAGGGACAGAGCTCTGCTCACACCCCCAAACTCTGCTCTCCCCACCAGCCCTGGGGGAGAGCCCCACACAGCGGGCCGGCTGGTGCTGTCTGCGCCTTCTTTGCTGGGACCCTCCCCCGCTGCAGGGCAAGGAGGCAGACAGACAGTCCCACGGCCCAAGAAACGGTCCCCGCTCACCGGTCCACGTCCAGGATGCGGTTGGTATCACGGTTCACCACGTGGATGAGCAGTTCCGTCTGCGCGAAGTTCACCCGTCCCTTCTTGTCCACGTGGAACTAGGCGGGAAGGGGTGTTGTGGGGTGTGGCCACCATGGCATGGGTAGGGGGCAAGGAAGGGGGATGGGCAGGCCCCTTCCGGGAGCCCCTCCCGCCCTTCCCTGCTAATAGACACGTCACTACTGAATGCTCGCTGAGGACCAGGCACAGTGCTCATCACTTCACCCACGTTGGGCCAGGTACTATGAATTAGCACCATTTTACAGATAAGGAAACTGAGGCCTAGAGACCTGGGAGAACTGTCTCAGAGCCACACCACCAGGAAATGACCAAGGGAGGTATGTGCCCCCTTTCATGCCCCTGAACTTTCCATAAAGCCCTGTCCTTCCTTGCGGCCTGGCCCCCCTCTTCTCCCTCCACTGCCCCGTTGCCAGGGTGGGTCTCATGGGGCACCTGCACGTCGTCAGTGTTGACGATGGCACCGGTGATGTTGGAGAGCAGGCGGATGAACTCTTCCTCGAAGCCACGCACGCGGTCCGGGATCTCGTTAATGACGATCTTGACTCGCTGGTCGTCCCTCAGGATGTAGATGCCGATGATGGCTGTGTCGTTGTGGCCTGCCAGGTCTCGGGCCACTATGTCCACCACAAAGTAGCCAGGGCTGTAGGCCATAAAGAGGTCGAAGGTGCGCAGGATGCCGTCCACGCTCCCTGCGGGAAGAGCCCGAGGGCGGGGCAGAGCTCAGGGGTTACCCCGCGCCCCTGAATCCCTGGCAGGGGGCAAGGGCCCTGAGGCAGGCAGGCACACCTAGGGGACAAAGCACAAATGCCCACAGGGCCCAGTCGGGAGCAGAGGTGACAGATGAGTGGGAACAGTGCCCATCTGAAGGGGCAGCGGCTCAGGCCGCAGCTCGGCTGGTTACTGTCGTGACGGACTGCGCCTGTGCCGCCAGACCTCGCACTTTTCCTAGAGAGAGCGAGCGGTCCCGCTCTCATGCGAAATCCTCTTGTTTTAAACCATTGCCTACGTTTTTATTTAAACACTCTGCATATTAAACAGAACACAACTGTGGGCTGCATTGGCCCAAGGATGACAAGTTTGTGACTGCTGTCCCATGCTGGGGTGCCATGGACCACTTCTGAGCACCCTTAGTGTCTCTCTCTCTCTCCCTCTCTTTCAAACATGCGTACTTCAGAATTCCACAAAGAACAGAGATGACCAGAGGTGATACAGCATAGCTTTCTCTTAAAAGACAGCAGACCTGGCTTTGAAATCTGCCACTTTCTAGCTGTGTGACCTTTAGCAAGCTATTTGACCTCTCTGTGCTTTGGTTTATTAAAATAAGAGCAGTGAGGCTGGATGTGGTGGCTCACACCTGTAATCCCAGCACTTTGGGAGGATGAGACAGGAGGATCGCTTGAGGCTAGGAGTTCAAGATCAGCTGGGGCAATATAGCAAGACTCTGTTCTCTACAAAAGATTTTAAAATTAGCCAGGTGTGGTGGCTCATATGCTTGTAATCCCAGGGACTCAGGAGGCTGAGGTAGGGGGATTGCTTGAGCCCAGGAATTCAAGGTTGCAGTGAGCTATGATCATGCCATTGCACTCCAGCCTGGGTGACAGAGTGAGAGTCTGTCTAAAAGAAAAAAATAAATAGCTGTGAGAACTCAAGGGATGGCATCTTGAACTAGACCTCATAGGATGGGGGCAATATATCTGAAGGCAGAGATGGGTGTCAAAATGGCATGCCAGAAACTTAAGGCAGAGGGGTCAAAGGCCAGGCGAGGATGGAATAGAGCAGGTTGAGGGAATGATAAACAGTTCAGCTATGTTAAGGACAGTAGGTGGTGGAGCAAGCAGAAAGAAGGGAGGAAGACCTAGTAAGCCATGAACGCCAGGCCAAGGAATCCTCCTGGCATTCAAGACTGGCATACAGATAAGACATGTATAGAAAGAGAAGTGGGAAAAACTTGGGACTGGAAGTAAGGTAATGGGACACCCAACAAGGGCACTTTCTAGAGCTTGACCTAGAGAGTCTCAGCCATCCACATAGCAAACGCACGAGCAAGCTTGCATATTTGTAGGCATTTAACCTAAGTGTGCTCTTTGATTTCTGGCTGCCCAGTGCCTACCATGATGCCTACACACAGGGGGGTGAGGTTCACAAATGGAAAAACAGGAAGATATAATGGAAAGGAGAAGAGACAGATGGAGAGATTGATGAAAGGGAAGATGGATAGGAAAATGGATGGATAGATAGAAGGAAGGTAGGTGGAAGAAGGACAGATGGATGGAAGGATGAATGAATGGATGGATAGACAGATGGATGGAAGGGTAGATGAATGGATGGATGAACAGATGGATGGAAGGGTAGATGAATGGATGGATGGCAGATGGATGAATGGATGGATGAATGGAAGGCTAGATGGATGGATGGATGGAAGGCTAGATGAATAGATGAATGGATGGACAGATGGACGGATGGATGGATAAATAATGGATGAATGAGGAGACAAGAATAAAGAAAGGAAGAGCAGGTAGGTAGATGTAGAGATGGCACAAAGTAGAACAGCTCAATGAATGGCGGATGAATTGGATGACACGACTGGCTACCCATATATCCTGTGGTGCTCACACAGCCCCCATCTCCTCAGAGATAGGTGTCGAAATGGCATGCCAGGAAATTAAGGCAGAGGGGTCAAAGGCCAGGGGAGGATGGAGTCCCTGCAGCGACTGAGAGATCTTGGTTGCAGGCCACCCATGTGCTGCCAGGCTCCTACCCATGGTGAAGACCTGGCCCACATCTTCAGAGTCGTTGGCAAGGGCCCGGAAGTAGTGGATGGCCAGAATGCTGTAGAAGACGAGGCTGTTGTTGCCGATGTCTGCGTCCAGGGCCAGCACCTGGATCAACTCCGAGCCCACTTTGGCATCAGTGGCCACCCCTGCGGGAACGGCAGGTGGTGTAAGTGGCAGGGCAGGGGCCACCCCACGCCCGTGCCCAGACTCCAGTCCCTGCACCTGCAGTGTACTCAGCCTTGGTGAAGCGGGGCGGCTGGTCGTTGATGTCCTCCAGCACGACGCGCACCTCCTGCAGGGTGAGGTCAGCCAGCAGGTCGAGGGCTGGGGAGGGTCCACGGGGAGGCGTCCAGCTGCGGTTGCTGGAGGCCTTGACGATGAAGGAGAAGACGGCCTCCCGCTCCCGGTCCAGGTCCCGCAGCACCAGCAGGCGCCCGTCGGGCTGCAGATGGAAGTTCTTCTCTTCGTTGCCGGCTGAGGGTGGGAGCATGGCACAGGTGAGGGGGCAGGGCGCATTTGGGTCATCTCCAGCCCCAGGGTGGGTAGGGCGCTAGCTCCGTCAGGCCCCACCTGCGATGAAGTAGTACACGATGGCGTTGGGGCCCTCATCTGCGTCCACGGCACCCGTCACGTTGCCCACGAGGGTGCCGCGTGGTGAGTGCTCAGGCACCGTCAGCAGCTGGTACTGGGGGCTGCCTTTCTGCAGGGGGAAGGGGATGTTGTCACAGGAGGCCACACTGAGCCCCCAGTCCCCGCTGGGGGCCCTGGGCAGTGACTGTGTGGCTACCGAGGGAGTCTACTGTCCAGGCCTTATGGGGAGAGGAGAACTGCTGTAACCTCAAGGGGACAAGGGCAGGGTCTGGGGACCTGAGCCCTGCCTCAGGGACTGTCACCCAGTGATGTCCTCCATGCAGGCAGGGCTGGGCTTGGCATGTTCTCTGAAGCATCCCAGCACCTGACCGAGTCTAAGTGAGGGGGCACGTACGTACTCTCATGTGCGCATGCGTGTGTACACACTCACACTCAGAGATTCCAGGGAACATCCCATCCCACGTACACACAAGCGGGAAAAACAACCACACCAGAGAGCTGGAGTCCAAACAAGGGGCCTCAGCCCTGCTGTTCAATTTCATCTCAGCCCCACCTCAACGAATCCGGGCTGATTGTCATGCTCCGTGTGCGTGTATGCGTGCGTGTGCGCACATGCGTGCAAATGCCAGATCAGCTCCATGAGTCAGGCATTTGGGTCTGCTTTTTAACCACTGGTTAGTGTCTTGAAACAGTGCTCAATATGGCGAGCCATAGCTGCTCCATAAATGGTTGTTCTTGCATGAAGTGCATGCGGACAGGTGTTTCCGTGTCTAACCTAATGTGTATTCCAGCACAGTGTGTACAGGGGAGTGTGTGCATGTGTGTGCTTGCTGGCAGGTGTGACTGGCGCAGGGGACAGGCAAGCTCACTGGAGGCCTCACGAAGAGTGGCTCGTTGTCGTCAATGTCCTCCAGGGCCACCTGCAGCGGCTGCATGGTCTCATATGGCACCGGCTGGCCCAGGTCGCTGGCCACCAAGATGATCTGGGAGGGAAGAGCGCAGAGGGGAAGGCTGAGGGGGGCGCTCCAGGTGGGAGGTCGGGCCCTGCGCAGAGGGAAGCCCCGCCCCCAGAGGGAAGCCCCGCCCTCCCCGCGCCGGCCCCGCCCTTACGCTGTACAGCGCCTGCTTCTCCCGGTCCAGGCGCTGCGCCGTCTGGATGAGGCCGCTGACCGGGTCGATGGTGAAGTACTCCCAGTCCCGGTTGCCCGCCGTCTTCAGGAAGCTGTAGCGCACCGCCCCGTTGAGGCCCTCGTCCTTGTCCGTGGCGTAGACCTCGTACACGTTGGAGCCCAGTGGGATCTCCTGTGGGGGTATGGGGAAGGTGGACATCGGAGGGAATCCCAGCTCCCAGGCCCCATGGAGCTCTCGCTCTTTCTCCTGCAGCAGCGAATGTCCTCGCCACCTTCCAGCACCCTGCTTGGCTGGACTCTGGTGGATTCCAAGCATCGACTATTTCCTCTCCGCCTTCTTCCCCAAACCGAGCCAAGGTCTGTCCACTGACACTCCAGCCTGGGATCTGCATGCTCCAAGCTCCCTCCATCCCTCCAGTCCCATTGCATGCTGAGGTTTAGGGGACAGAAGGAGAATCCAAAAGCCACAGCCACCTTTCGTCTGTCTTGCTGTCTCTGCCACCCAGACCACAGGCACTCTGAGAATCCCCAGGCAGCACCATTCATCTGGTGGGGTGCCCGAGAATGGGGGACCCGGGAAGGTGGCATGGTGGACAGAGATTGGCCACCAGGTCTTCTGTTACCAATTCCCTGTGGAACCTGGACATACCTCTTCACCTCTCTGAGCTCAGTCTCCTGAATGCCCTTAAGTCTAAGGTATTGAAAAACCTAATTGATATCAGACAATGACCCACGATAAGGCTGCCCTTGGCAAAAGAAAAAGAGCATATTTCTTTGCATTTAGTTGAAAAATTATCAGCTCAGCATGGTTTCATTGTTTATACCATTGATCACGACAAGCAGAAGTTCCAAATGGCAGTTATATCTAATTAATAAAAAGTGGGATGACAAATAGATAATTACTTAATAAATGCTGGTCGTTCGGGATGCATAAATCTTTCCAAATATGGAGCCCTTAAAGGAAAATCTTAGTAAATGGAGCCTTTGGTGTGGAAAAGACCTAGATTATTATTAATTTATACCCTCCTCTTGCCACAAAAAAGATCTGAAGCAGCTGACAAGGATATATAAATAATAACATTGAACAAGTTAAAAAATTAGGGTAAAGAAAAAAATGGTTGGCAGGAAGACGGAAGCTGAAGGGTGGGAGGCAAAGTGTGTACCCTAAGTCTCTGCAGGCTCATTCAAGGTGGGGTGACCACTCTGAGCTCCCTAGTGGGCACAGCAAAGACTGCTAAGTCATTAAAAATGTGAAACTAGACACAAGGTAAAAGCAAATCCTAAGGTAAAAAAAACCACAATGTTTCTCAGAGCTCAGCCTTGAGAAAGTTTTCTCCCGTAGGACCTCAAAGAGTGAAAAGAAGGATTTAGCAATGACATTCTGAGACGTGGAGACTTGCTGGAGTTTGGGGAACAAAGAACAAGTGGGAGACTCCCTAATTGTCCCACCAAGGAGCATTTTGGGCTTGGGTGGCATAGGAGAAAGAGAGAAGAGCAGAACTTCCCTATCTTATATGGCAATTTAGACCAAGGAATGGAAGAAGAATTGGAGAGATTCCAGAACCTCGGCCACTTCCCCTTGTTTCTTGTTGTGACGCCTGTCTTCAGCTCCCAGGCCGTCTCAGCACTGGTATCACAGGAGCAGCAGACAGACAGAAGGGGCCCGTGTGTTTATTTTGAGACGAGCGTGGGGGAAGTGGGTCGTGGGGGAGACTGTCCTTGGTAGACATCTAGGAGCAACACGTGGGCATTTACTATTATTAGTCCTGTTTTGCAGATGAAAAAACAGACTTGCTCAAGGTCACTGGCCTGGTAAGCAGTAGAGTTAGACTTGAACCCAAGATCTTTTGCTAGCACGGCCTGTACCACTATCCATTGCTCAATACTGCCCTGTGTGGCACTGAGCACATCTGCTGTCTTCTCTGGCCTGTTCCTCCACCTTGACAATGGGGTCCTTCCACTCTCCTAGGCCATGGCTGCTGTGGGACGAAGAAGAGGGCCGGAGGCTGGCAGGGGATACCGGGAGGAAGTCCCGGGGGACAGGAGTACCTCTCTGATGTGGAGGATGGTGCCGTTGGGCGGGCGCACGAAGACAGGGCGGTTGTCATTGACGTCGATGACCTCCACCAGGAGCATGGTGGTGCCCCAGAGTGGGGGCTGCCCGCCATCCGTGGCCACCACGGTCAGGTTGAACCTCTCGTAGGACTGCAGTGGCCGCTGTGTGGTCACCAGGCCTGAGTCCATGTCCACGTGGAAGGCGTCTGGCGGGCGGGGCAGGAGGGCAGGGCGTGGCTCTGACTGAGGCATCCTCCCCGTCCCTCCTCCTCCTCCTCCTCCTCCTGGCGGGGGGCTGCAGGCATGGCAGCTCGCCCCCATCCCCCACCTCCTGCCAAGGCGTCACAAGTGTCTAGGCAAGGCTACACACCCACGCCAGGGCCCTCCAGCGAGTAGGTCAGCTCCCCGTTGGGGCCTTCGTCCTGGTCAGTGGCCATCATGGTGATGACAGAGGTGCCTGCCGGTTCGTTCTCGTACACGCTCGTGCTGAACTGGGGCTTGGAGAACTGCGGCCGGCAGTCGTTGACATCCAGCACTTGGATCACCACCTGCGGGTGGAGGTCAAGGCCAAAAGGTCAGGAGCACGATGGGGCTGCCTCAGGGAACCTGGTCACCCAGGCATGCTCGGGCAGAGGAGGGACAGGCACCACCTTGGGAGGGAGCCACCGTCTTCCGATGTGTTAGAGTCTGACCTCAAGGACTGTATTTAATGCCTTGAGCCTCAGTTTCCTTATCTGTACAAGGGGGACAGTCGTGTCTTATCTCTCACACGTGATGATCTGTGCTAGGACATACTCAGCAATTAAAACCAGGTTAACAGGTAATCCGCACCTGCGCCCTGAGGCAGGAGCCCTCTTACCTGCCCACCCACAGCCCTCTGTCCTTGCTACTCCCCACAGTGGCCTGTAACTCTGGCTCTGATCTCTGGACCTTAATGCCGATCGCTGAGATTCCTCCACTCCCTAAGGCCCCTGTTGACCAGGATCTGTGTCTGGCCTGAGACCTGGCTTCCCCTGCTGACCCCCCAGCCCAGGGCAGGCCGTGTAGACACAGCAAACCCTGGCTGCCATGGCCCTGCCTGTCCACATCCTCATTGGAATCACAGCCCTTCACAGTAATGATTTTTTTTTTTTTTTTTTTTTTTTGAGACAGAGTCTCACTTTCTTGCCCAGGCTAGAGTGAGTGCCGTGGCGTCAGCCTCGCTCACAGCAACCTCAGACTCCTGGGCTCAAGCAATCCTCCTGCCTCAGCCTCCCGAGTAGCTGGGACTACAGGCACGAGCCACCATGCCCGGCTGATTTTATATTATATATATTAGTTGGCCAATTAATTTCTTTCTATTTTTATGGTAGAGACGGGGTCTCGCTCAGGCTGGTTTTGAACTCCTGACCTTGAGCAATCCGCCCGCCTCGGCCTCCCAGAGTGCTAGGATTACAGGCGTGAGCCACCGCGCCCGGCCCACAGTAATGATTTTTAAGGCCCCCTTTCAGTGCACGGAGCACGTTCAACCCACCTCATCTCCCGGGTCCTCATCCCCACACCTGCACTGTCCCTTTGCAGATTTGACAACTGCAGCTCAGCGAGGTTAACTGACACATGCAGTTTGCTCAGCTAGTGGAACTTAGTCTTCCCACTCCAAATACTGTGCTTTTCCCAGCACGGCACGTGTGTGTGTGACAGGGACGAGAGTCAGGTATGTGTGATGCTCCCAGCCTTTCCCCTCCACCTGCTGAAGGGGACCCGTCTCGGCTCATTGGCTTCTCCCCACTGCATCCTCCACCCCCGGCTCGGGAGAGTTTCCTGTGGGCAGCCAGGTTACTGTGAGGGACACGTGAGTTCAGGAAGGCAGGTGGGAGGCAGAAAGGAGCGGGATGAGACGGAGAGAGCAAAGCTTCGAGGCGTGGGACTTTGGGTGGACAAGGGGAGATGCTGGCCTCACAGCAACTGTGTGGACGCTGGGAGTGCGACGGGAATGGGGCTGTGAATCTGACCCCTCGTTAGTATTCTTTAACAAACTTAGATGATTACTTTATAATTATGTGGGGCTACTGGGCTGCGTTTCTTTCGGTGGGGCGCTATGGCAACACTGAGCCACGTGTATAAGCCAGGACTTATTTGGGTTTCCCCCAGGTGTGTTTAGCTGCCTTGGCAATCAATGGTTTGGCACCAGAGATTTCTCCTAGAGTCCCTGCCTTCCTAAGCTGCAGCCATTGTGACCCACCCAGGCACCCTATTGCCTTCTCCTTCCTGCCACCGTGTCTCTGAGGGGACTGGGGGGCTCTCCTGTCAATCTGCAGCAGTCACTTGCTAAAGGCTTTGCTTGCTGTCTACACAACCCCAGGCTCAGGTTGGCACCCCTTACCTGCACCGAATTTTCTCGACGGTTGCTGGCTACATCCCCAGGATTGTCTTTGGCCAAAGCAGTCAGGATATAGAGGTCCTTCTTCTCCCGGTCCAGAGAGGATAGCACATAGATGTCACCCTAGTAGGGGAAGGTGGCTTTAGGTCCTTTAATCATTCAACAGATACTTATTGAGTACCTACTATGGCCAGACAGTGTTCTGGGCTCTGGAGATACAGCACTGGACAAGAGACCCCTGTCCCCAGGGAGCTCACATCCTTCTCGCCCTCACCACCCTAAGCTACCTGGAGCCGGGGTGATCAGCCCTGTCTGGAGCTAACTGCCTGACCAGGGCTTGGCATACAGTAGGTGGCTCCATACATACTCATTCTTCTTAATGCCAGGCCAGGAGCCATGTCTGCTTGCCCACACCAAACTGGAAGGAGTGGACCCTGCTGAAAGGGCAGAGTGCGAGGGATGTGGGCAGAGAGGGGCAGTGGGAGGGAAAGTCTAGTTCCAGCCTCAGTGACCGGGGAAGGCCCTGCCTGACCGAGCAGCCCCAGGCCACTGGGCTCCCTCCCTATACTGAAAATAGCAGCTTCGAACCACTTAGTACACATTTGAAGTCATCACCCATCTTTTCTCCTGAATTTCTGCTCTTGAGGTCTGAGACTCAGGAGAGCATGGGGGATGCACCCTTTGGGGCATCCTCCCTTCCCCAGCACTGAGTATAGGGCCTTGTATCCAGTAGGTGCTCAAACACTGTGTCCACTTTCTGCGGCACTTCCCAGGCCTACCTTTTGACAGTTTCTTTTTTCTTTTCTTCTTCTTCTTTTTCTTTTTTGAGAAAGTTTCACTCTGTTGCCCTGGCTAGATTTCAGTGGGGTCAGCCTAGCTCACAGCAACCTCAAACTCCTGGGCTCAAGCAATCCTCCTGCCTCAGCCTCCCAAGTAGCTGGGACTATAGGCATGTGCCATCATGCCTGGCTAATTTTTTCTATTTTTATTTTTTTAAAATTATTTTAATTTTTTTGAGGCAGAGTCTCACTCTATTGCCCAGGCTAGAGTGCCATGGCATCAGCCTAGCTCACAGCAACCTCAAACTCCTGGGCTCAAGCGATCCTCCTGCCTCAGCCTCCTGAGTAGCTGGGACTACAGGCATGTGCCACCATGCCCGGCTAATTTTTTCTATATACTTTTAGTTGGCCAATTAGTTTCTTCCTATTTTTAGTAGAGACGGGGTCTCACTCTTAACTCTGGCTGGTCTCGAGCTCTTGAGTGCCAGTGACCGCCTCCTAGCATGCTAAGATTACAGGCGTGAACCACTCCACCCAGCCTCTTTTGACAATTTCAAAAAGCAGATCTTAATCAGGTTTTTCAGTCTGGAGAGAATATATTTCAGAAGTTGTCCCACAAAGCTCTAGTTCCAAAAGTCCATGTCTGCTGGGACAGAAAGGCTGCAGTCTACAGGATGTCTGGGACTCTGAGAACAGGGTTTGCTAAAGAACTTGGCTAAAGAACCCTGGAGGCTACAGACGTCCAGGTGGCAGGACCCAGAAACACGGCGATGACTGCAGTGGTTTTGGTGGCTTCGCAGCCCGTGACGCGGGGCCCTTCCCACTTCCAGAACCCAGGCCTGCATCACGCGCTTACCGTGTCGGGGTTGATGGCAAACTTGCCCTCTCCGTCCCCAAGGCTGTACTCAATGAGGGCGTAGTTGCCAGAGTCGGCGTCTGTAGCAGTGACTGTCAGGATGACTGTGCCCACAGGCACGTCCTCGAAGACGGCCTCCTGGAGCCCGGTGGGCAGGAAGAGAGAGGAGGACACAGTCAGCCCTAGAGCCCTCGCCTGGCCCTAGGAACGATGATGCAGGGAGCCCAGAGCATCAAGTGGCTCATGGGCTGGGTGCTCCCGGGGGGCTTCGAGGCTGACAGGATGGGATTGGAAGATGCCCAGACCCCAAGGAATGGGCACAGGCCCTGGACCCGGCCTGTTGGGCTGGCCCCACCTGGTAGGAAGGCTGGTCGAAGATGGGGTTGTTGTCATTGATGTCCACGACCTCCAGGTAGACAGGGATCTCAGCAGCGCGGGGCGGGGACCCATTGTCCGAGGCCCTCACGGTGAAGTTGAGCCAGTGCACCTCCTCATAGTCCACGGTCCGGTTGGCAATGACCTTCCCTGAGACACAGAGGCAGCCACTGCCATTTTGGCCTCACTCACGACAGCTTTCCGAAGTTTGAAGGGAAGGACCTGGAGCTCTGGGGGCAGCTGTGGCCCCTTGAAGAGGAGGGTGGCCAAGCAGCACTGCCCAGTGGCAGGCGAGAGGGCTGGGAGGGGCTGGCGTCCAGCTGCTGTCATCATGGGGGGTGAGAAAGCTTCTCACAAGCCAAAGGGACGGACATCAACACGCCGGGACACCTCCCTCTGGGCTCTCCCGCTCCCTGAGTGGTAGTGACAGTAGGAGCCTGGGCAGCGGAGAGGATCAATTCCAGGAGTCTGGCAGACATCAAGGGGGCTTCCAGGCCAGCCCAGGACCAGGCGCACTGTCCTTTCTCTAGTTTGGGAATCTGGGAGTGGACAAGATGCCGGCCACGGAGGGGCTGGGTGGGGCCCCTGCTGGAAGGTGAGAAGCAGGCCACGGTCCCTCTCAGGGGCTAAGTGGGCAGAGACGTGTGTCCCCCAGCCATCCTCTGGCAGATTTCAACCTACCCGCTGAGGAGTCTTCCAGCTGGACGTAGCCCGGGGGCTCGAGGTCGAGCAAGGTGTAGGTGATCAGCCCGTTGAGGCCCTTGTCGGGGTCCACGGCTGCCACAGCAATGAGCGTGGTCCCCGGGTTGGCCCCCTCCAGGATCCGCTCCGTGTAGTAGGTGATCCCAAAGGGCTTGAACTGGGGCGTGTTGTCGTTGACGTCCAGGATGTTGACTGTCAGCTTGGCTGGGGTGGGGACCAGGAGACGGGTGCCAGTGTGGCCAGGCCAGGCCTTGCCAAGCCTCAGCCAAGCCCGGAGGATGGAAGCATCTCTCAGCCCTCCTGGGACCCCCCTCGGCATTGACCTCCCCCACCTCAGGCTGAGGCATGTGGCCCTGTCCTCTGGTCTGGTCACTCACTCCTCCATAGGGGGAAGGGCTGGTGACCCTGGTGGAGCCCCTGGCCCCTCCTGTGCCCGTTTCCTAACCTGCTCAATGAGATAGGACCAAGATGATCTTTAAGACCCGATATCCCATCTGAACTGTCCTCTCCACATAGCCAGCCTGGGCCCTTTATCTTCTGAGCTTGAGACACAGAAGAGATGACCAAGTGTGCCCTTCCTTCCGGAAAACATGGGCCTCTGGGCCACGATAAGCAGCCAACGTCTGCCAGGCTGGCCCCCACAGCAGCGGCTGTCCTCACGCACGGCAGAGGGGACTGAGCCCACCCCATCCCACTGCTCCACCCACCCCCGCTCTGGCAGACCCTCTGCCCTTGCCTCGGGTGGCCCATGCCCCACCCTCAGGGGGCAGCACGGCGGCCCCCCTTCCCGGCAGTGCCTGCACCCCGGTGAGGTGTCTGTGCCCCCCAGTCACTGTCCTTGCTGCCTGCTCCCTCTGTGCTGACCCTTGGGGCTTCCTATCAGATCATCGGGTTCCTGCCGCCCATCCCAGCCGCACAGCCACCAGTTCTGACAAGCGGACTCGGACCTGCGTCTCCGCAACCCAGCTTTCCTCAACCCCCTTGCAGGCCTCCCCAGTCGCCTCCCCACGCCGCGCCGCGCCGTGGGCTTCAGCTCCCACGCCGTGCTGAGCTCCGCGTTACGACTGCCACCTGGGGCTCGCTGTGGCCGCCACCTCCCAGGCCTCAGGTGTCGCCCCCTGCCCTGATTGGCTCTGAGTAACCAACGAGAGACGTCTGCAGGGGAGCCTTACCGTTTGGCACGCTGACAGAGCGCTCCGGTAGGTCGCTGGCGTTGTCAATCACCGAGAGAGTGACCTCATAGGTGGCAACAAGCTCCCGGTTCAGGGGGGACTTCACCATTACAGACCCTGCGGAGCGGGCCAAGCCAGGTTCAGCCTGAGCAGAACCCCGGAAAATCTGGGCCCCCAGGGGTGCTCTCCTCCCAGTCCCCACAGAGAGCGACGGTGCCCGGTGGACCCCGGCACTTGTGGCGGGCCTGGGCCCCCAGCTGCCCACACAAGCCGGGCACTCGGTGCGCACTAGCCGCGCCTCTGGGCAAGCCATTTACCCCTCTGTGCCTCAGGTAATCACAGTGCCGGCCGTACTGCGCTACTGTGAGGATTAGAAAACTTACACAAGTTTCTGTTTGTAAAGAACTTAGAGTATAGCACGTGGCACATGAAAGTGCTACATGCTTGCTCAGTTGAAAATCCGTACATTCTACAACAGCGTGAACGCACCCAACACTACCAAACTGTACGCTGAAAGATGGCTAAGATGAATTTTGTTATGTGGGTTTTATCACAATTTTAAAGAAAATGCTCATATTCTAGGGAGATCAAGTATAAAGGAAGGTCATGGCAGCTGGAAAGCCCCGAAGGGGTCCACAGAGGGGACAGTGGTGGGACAGGCTGTATACCTCAGGCCCACCCCTTTGTCTCAATGACACGAGTGAAATGGGCTGATCGTGGGATAGGTGCATTGGCCCTGTGTTAGTCTCAGCCAAGAGTTTCCTTGTCTTCTACCCACTGCCTCCCAGAGTCCCTGCCTGCTCCCCAAATTAGAGAGGAACTTTCCAGAAGCTTGGGTTTAGACTGGATGGAACTAGTTTGGCCGACCTCAGAGCTGGCTTTCCTGGGACCTTTCTTCTTCTTGCCTACTAGAGGGCCTGGGGGGCTCCTCCTCCCACCGGCCTCATCCCAGAGTGAGGCCTCCTGTCCCTCTGGGGCACTGGGGTCTCTGGGATCCCCTTCCCCCTCAGCGGATCCCCCTGCTGGGCTTCTGTCTTCCGTGGGTCCCCAGCATGGGGCGGTCACTTACCCTGGGCCGCCTCCTCCTCCTCCTCCTCCTCTTCCTACTCTCGCTCCCTGTCCCCCAGGCTGGGGAGCGAGGATGGGGAGAGGGCGGCTGCATTCAGTCTGCAAAGGCTGGGCCACGGCCTTGGCCCGGGCCCCACAGGGCAGGAAGGGTGGTGGGGGTGCGGTGGGCATGGAGGAAGGCAATGGGGTGAAGCAGAGAAGAGATGAGGTGGGAAGTGACAGAGAAACAGAGCTCAAACCTGTGGGCCTGCCAGCCATGAGGAAGAGAGAAGAGGGTTAACATCAGTTAGTTCAGGGTGCGGCAGGGAGGGAGTGGAGCGGGGCATGGGGGCGGTGGGGACTCAAAGCTGACTAGGGCAGGGGACACAGGGAGGTGTGGAGGGACAGGCACAGGGGGAGGAAACCAGGGGAGCAAGCGGGAGCCCAGCTGGAGTGGAGAGCTCAGGGGCTGAGGCTCTGGCAAGAAGAAAGGGCAGGGAGGTGAGCAAGGGCAGGGACAGCCTGAGGAAGGGGGCAGAGAAGACACTGGAAAGAAAAATAGAGAGAAGAGAGTCAGTGGGAGGGAGGGAGAATAGAAGGGAGAAAAAGCGGTGGAGGCTTCAGCGCAGTGTGGAGCTGAACACGGCACGGAGCAGCTCTCCATGGTCCTGACCAGCCCATCCGCCAAGGATTTTGCTAACCTGGGACAGGGCTGATTTTATTTAACCTCTCCTAGTGCTCCTGGTTTTCCTTTCTTCCTTTTTCCTTTGGGCTTCATATGCAGATTGAGCTAATCATACTCTTTGGTTCACTGTACACTATAATCACTGGCCCCTCTCTTGCTTTCTGAATGTATCTATTCCCTTCTATTCCCATCCTCCTCCCACCTTTGGCCAATCACTGTAATGTATTGAATATATTTTTTATTTAAAAGTATTCCTGAAAATCATGTTGTTTTTTTTTTTTTGAGACAGAGTCTCGCTCTGTTGCCCGGGCTAGAGTGCTGTGGCGTCAGCCTCGCTTGCAGCAACCTCAAACTCCTGGGCTCAGGCGATCCTCCTGCCTCAGCCTCCCAAGTAGCTGGGACTACAGGCATGCGCCACCATCCCTGGCTAATTTTTTCTATTTTTGGTAGAGATGGGGTTCAAACTCCTGAGCTCAAATGATCTGCCTGCCTCAGCCTCCCAGAGTGCTAGGATTACAGGCATGAGCCACTGCACCCTGCCTGAAAATCATGTATTGTTTTGTGTGTATGTATTTTATACTTATGCAAATCATGTCGGGGTATATGTCTCCTCCCATTTCTTACTCTTTTCAGTAAGAACTTATTAAGCCCCACCCACATTGCGTGGTATGAGTCTAATCTATTACTTCTTCCTGCTGCCTGTCACCCCCCTGGTGTGCACCCACATTTTATTCTCAATTGCCCACCACCACCAATAAATCTGCAGTGAACATCCTTAGACAGTCCCATTGACGCCCCGACAGTTTTTATGAGATATATCCTTGGAAGCAGAATTGCTGGGTCCTGGGGTATGAGTGTACTTGGTGCTGGAAAGCTGTCCAGATGGTGGAATCCGTCTCATGGTAGTGCATGAGGGTTCCAAAGCCCGCACATTGTCTCCAATATCAACACTGTCCAGCATCCTAATATCTGCTAATCACACGTGGAAAACTGATATCTCACTGCCATTTTACTATGCATTTCTCTGAATAATGATTTTTAGCATTTTGCCATAGCCATGTTAATTTTTCTGTCACTCCTCTGGGTCTTCCAAGAAGTACCCCTGTCAGATACCATGTCTTTCCTAACTCCCCAAAAGAGTGAAAACATTGAACTTTTGGTCAAATGGTAAAAGCATCTAAATTATAATAAGCTGTATAAAATGTGAAAGATAAGCCACGGTTCCCTTTGTCTTGTGATAGTGTAAGAATATCTTACAGAGGATTTAAATGACCAGCATACACAGGAAGAGAGGGCTCAGCCACTTAGTTATTAAAAATGCATATTAAAATAAGGTATCATTTTCCTCTAAAGTTACAAAACACGAAAACATTCCAGTATTGAATGCTGGCATGAGTGTGGTGAGATGCGTAGAGTGAGGGGATCAGAAGACCAGAGGAGCTGGTTGAGGAAGAGGAGGAGAGAGGAAGGATACGGTGCCGACAGGGGAGAGAAGTGAAAGGGAAGGAGGAGGGAGGAAGGAGGAAGCAGGGAGCCAAGGAGCTGGGCAGGGAGTCGGGGCAGAGGCGGGTGGGAGGGTGCAGGCCCTTGTACCTGTGTTGATGTTCACAGCAAAGGCGTCCTCCTGGTCGGGTACCAGGCGGTCAGTGTCATCCTTGGCCACGATGCCGATGATGTGGTACTCCAGCTTTGGGTTGAGGTCTCGGTCAATGGCGGTGACATTGGCAATGACAGTGCCTGGCTTGGCCGACTCCAGCACGCTCACTGTCTGGATGGGGTTGAGGAACTCAGGGCGGGAGTCATTGACATCATCAATCAGGACTGTGATGATGGCCGTGCCAGAGAGAGGGACGGTGCCCCGGTCAGCGGCCACCACTGTCAGCCTGTAGGAGTCCTGCTCCTCCCTGTCGATGGTGGCATTTCCGACTCGGATGACCCCGGTGACAGGGTGGATGAGAAAGCGGTCCTGAGCCCCGGCTTCTATCCGATAGACCAGCTCCCCATTGAGGCCACTGTCTTCGTCCGTGGCTGTGACTTGAAGGACTGAGAATCCTGTGGGGGAGGGAATGGGGAGTGAGCACAGTGGCCTCTTCCAGAAAGATCATACCAGGACACGTTTGTTGGTGCACAAGAGGCCCCTTTTCATGATAGCCAGTTTTTATTTATCTTTTATACATTATGCAATTTTATGGGACAATGGTATTTTTATATTTTTGATTAAATAATATTTTATAATTTAATGGTTAGCTGTATTTCCTGCAAATTGCTTTTGCCTTTTGCTCATTTTTCTGTCAATTTATACAAATTATGTAATTATAACAACTTGAGGCAAATATCTTTTTCTCAGTTGTTTGCTTTTCAATATAGGCTATAACTGACATAAAGAAGTTTAAATTTGTGGCAGTGGCTCAGTAATCCCAGAACTTTGGGAGGCTGAGGCAGGAAGATCACATGGACCCAGGAGTTTGAGGCTGCACAGTGAGCTATGATCATGCCACTGCACTCCAGCCTGGGTGACAAAGTGAGACCCTATTTGTAAAACAAGACAAAACAAACAAACAAACAAAAATAAACAGGCCAGGTGTAGTAGCTCACGCCTATAATTCTAGCACTTTGGGAGGCTGAGGCAGGAGGATCACTTGAGGCTAGGAGTTCAAGATCAGCCTGAGCAACGCAGTGAGATTCTGTTTCTACAAAAGATAGAAAAAATTAGCTGGGCATGGTGGCATGCAACTATAGTCCCAGCTACTGGGGAGTCTGAGGCAGGAGGATTGCTTGAGACCAGGAGTTTGAGGTTGCTGTGAGCTAGGCTGATGCTACTGAACTGTAACCCAGGTGACAGAGCAAGGCTCTGCCTCAAAAAATATATACATTATATGCATAGAAATTTAATATTTTTCCATTTGATTTTTTCTGTTTCTTTTATGCTTAGAACTGTCTTATCCAGAAATCAGATAGTCACATGAATTTTCCTCTCTTATTGTTTAGTGTTTTCTACTCTTTTATATTTTCTTTAGAATATCTCTGGTTTTTTTTTTTTTTTTTTTTTGAGACAGAGTCTCGCTTTGTTGCCCAGGCTAGAGTGAGTGCCGTGGCGTCAGCCTAGCTCACAGCAACCTCAAACTCCTGGGCTCAAGCGATCCTCCTGCCTCAGCCTCCCGAGTAGCTGGGACTACAGGCATTCGCCACCATGCCCGGCTGATTTTTATATATATATATATTAGTTGGCCAATTAATTTCTTTCTATTTTTATGGTAGAGACGGGGTCTCGCTCAGGCTGGTTTTGAACTCCTGACCTTGAGCAATCCGCCCGCCTCGGCCTCCCAGAGTGCTAGGATTACAGGCGTGAGCCACCGCGCCCGGCTATCTCTGGGTTTTATTTTGTTGTCTGCTATGGGGTGAGAATCTACACTAAATATTATTATTATATAGTTAGATTACATATAGATTATATTAATATAATCTAACATATTAGATTATATTAAATCAGTTTTTTGCACACCAAATAAGTAGTTTTCCTCACTGGGTTAATTGCTTCCTTTATCACATAATATTATGTTCTTTAATTTACCAGTATCTGTTTTGGGGCCACTTCGCCCCAGAGTCTTGTGCTCATATCACATGGTTTTACATACTATAGCTTTGTAATATACTATCTGGGAAAGACAATCTGTCTTTATTATACTTATTTCTCAAAATTTTCTTATTCTTCCAAATGACCTTCAGAATCAAATCATATTTGATTTTGATGGGAATCACATTGATCCTATTTTGATTTTACAATAGTCTTTCCATCCAGGAACATGGGAGGAGCATATTTAATCTCATGCTGTGGACAAGACACTGAGGCTCGATCGAGGAGGGCAGTGGGGGCCAGGTCTCCCGACCCCCGTCGATGCCTGTCTCCCCGCTGGAGGTGAATTCTGTGCCAACCCGAGGCTCCAGTCCCCACTGACCACCAACCAGCTCCTGGTGGGGCCTGGGGCCTGTCCCCTGCTTACCTGGTGGGCAGTTCTCCAACAGATGGACAGTGAGGGTGGCAGGGCTAAAGGTGGGCACGTTGTCATTGTCGTCTAGGATGGTGACCAGCAGCTGAGCTGTGCCATTGAGCAGCCCGATGTCCTCAGCCAGCAGCAGGAGGTCCAGGACCGGGGGCGAGAAGGCTTCCCGGTCAATGATCACATCTGACCTCACAGTCACCACTCCTGGCACCCAGTGCCACCAGCCGGGGAGACATAAAGGAGAAGGGGTAGAGTGGGTAGACAGGGTGAGAGCCGACAGGGGAGATGGGGGCGTGATGGGGACAGAGGAAAGAGGAGCAGAGAAAGGAACATGATGACTTTCTTCCCCAAAGGTTCAACCGCCTGTGTTTAGGGAGGGCCCCCATGTGTCTCCTGTGGCTGTCCCCTCTGCAGGTGATCTTTGCAGTCCTCATGACACCTGCCTGGGAAGAGTGACCCAGGGTGGGGGTTGACCTGCTTCATTGAGAGATGTGCTTCCCTGTTGGCACCTGTCACCGATCAGCCTCCTGTGCAGGGCCAGACTGATGTGACACATGCTCTGGGGAGCCTTGGGTCTGGCTGAGGACAGGAAGGTTGCTTTGGCTACGTCTGACGGGCTAGGGGCCTGGGCCTCTGGCCTGGGCGTGGGAGATGAAGGGAGTGGGTTAGGGGCTCTCTGCCTGGGCTGCAAGTGTGTGCGCCAGCAGGGTCCCTGTGTTGTCTCCGAGCCTCCTCCTGGGACCTCCTGCCTGGCCCCTTGAGCAGCCTAATCCAGCTGCAGGATGGGGACTCTGGGCTGTGAGGAAGGGGGTCTCCGTGGACAGCCGGGCCCAGCACTGAGAAGGGAGGCCCTAGAGCTAGCAGCGGGGCCGTTCCCACCCCAGAGCCGGGCCGGGAGTGCCCGGTGTGGCGCAGAGGCCTCACCAGTGCTGTTGTTGATGTCAAAGAGGCCACTCTGGGCGCCCAGCAGCTGGTAGGTCACCACGGCGTAGATGTCCTGGTCTGCATCCAGGGCCAGGATGGGCCCATTGAGCACCGTGAGGGGGGTCCCTGGGCCAGGAGCAGAGGGGTCACTGCAGGCCCAACCTGGCCCCCTGCCCTCCCCCCTCCCCTGCCCATCCCGGTGAGCCATGGCTGACGATGGATGAGGGGGAAGGGTGAGGTGGACAGGGTGGGGAGGCCCTGGGGGCGGGCCTGCGGCAGCCTTGGCAGACTGAACGCAGATGCCTGGGGAGCGGCCTCAAAGCCCTGCTGGGGAGAAAACACGAGAGTGGTGAGCAAGCCCTGGCCCGCCCAGAGCCACGCCTACTTCCCAGCAGCCTTTGAGGCTGGCTGCTCCTCGGGAGGGTCTGGGGCTCCCTGACGTCCCCTCCCACGAGGGCCTTGTCTATCCACGTGTGTGTACACAATGCTGTATCTTCAGGGGCCTGTGCATACGTGACCAGGAACCCACACGGGTGTGCGGGTCTGTGTTCACAGGCCATGAGCACAGCCTGGGCTTCCCTGGTCGTGAGCTGTGTGCCTCTCTGGTGTTTGCAAGCGAGGGCATCGTGGGGGCACCCATGTGCCTGTGTCTGTGCACACGTGTAACCCCACACGCACTGGCACGTGTGAGCACGTGTGCATACACGCGTGTGCACACACACACAGGTTTAAGAATAAAATCTTTGTAGGGGGGATGCCAGGTCAGAGTGAGGCCGGTGCTGGGGAGGCTGAGCAGTGTGGGGGCCGCCCAGGGGTGCACAGAAGAGGAGACCCTGTCCTTCTGAAGGCAGGTGAGGCTGTTCAGTGCGTATGTGTGGGAAAGGGCTACGCTGACTATCCAGGGCCCCCGGCCCCCACCTCTGAATAGAGATGCTCCCCAGAGCTTCCAGAAGCTTCCAGGATGCCCTATACTCCTGAGGTAGAGGGAGCAGGGAGGGGTGGGCTCACCCTCTCTCCAGGGTAGTCCTCACACCTTAAATGCCCCTCTTTGGGGCACAATGGGGCTGCTCTCAGACCACCCTGGGGACTAACAACCCCAACTGTCTCTTCCAACTAGACCTGTGGCCTCTTTGGTGACCCCAAAGAGGCCTGGCAGCCCTGGGCCAGCAGCCCTCAGAGCTGTGGCCCCCCCTGCATTCCCCTCCCATACCCACTGGGTCTACAGTCAGCTACGCCATCGGGCGCAAGCAAGGTCAGGCCCCCCAGGCCCCAGGGGTGCCCGGCACCTACCAGCAGGAGAGTTTTCCATCACCTCTGCCTGGTAGGTGCTTTCAGTAAACAGGGGGTGGTTGTCATTCTCGTCCGCCAGAAAGATCAGCAGCAGGTCAAAGTCCTGTGCGGGTGGAACGGGCAGGCTGCAGGCCACGCGCTAGCAAAGTGCCCCCATGGGGAGGTGGGGAGGAGGGGAACCAGGGCTCAGAGGTGGAGGATCAACAAAGCCCACGCCAGGGGGCCAGAGACCCGGGTTCAAGACCCTGCTCTGTTAGCAGCTCACTGAGTGGCCCTGGGCGAGTCTCTCATTTCCAATCTAGAAAATGGGGATCTCCATGCCCTCACAGAGGGGTGGGGAAGATCTCAGGAGAGGACTGACGGGAGTGGTATTTAATCACGGTCCGTCTTGTGGCAAGGAGGGACCTCAGGCAGGAAGATGAGTCCTGTTTTTCAGACCCTCAAGGCTCACCAGACGCCCTGGTGAGTTCGTCCTGACTCACCGTGCTGCAATTCATGCCTTTCAAACCTGGGAACCTCCCAGGGCCCTGGGCACCATCAGCATTTCAGAAGTGAGGGTACACAGAGGGCGAGTGACCACTCAAAGCTGCACGGTGAGATAGTGGCAGAGTGGGGACCAGTACCCAAGCCTCCCAATCCCCACCACTCAACGCTGCTGCTTTCTGGGATGACCGGGCTCCCCCACGAAGGCAAAGGAAAAGGAGAACAAGAAAGAGGCGGCGGAAGCAGGAGGAGGAGGGAGGAAGCAGAGAAGGCAGGGAGCAGAAGGGCACTGAGGGAGGGAGGCAGGTGGCCTGTGAGTTCCTCCAGCCTGGGTCTCCTCTGGCTAGACAGGTAGGGAAACTGAGGCCAAGAAAGACCCTCACAGCTAGTCGGGAGCAGAGTTGAGATGACCCGGGCCCCAGGACTCCTGGCCAGGGCTCTGCCGCAGACCTCACGGGCTGGCGAGAGACAGCTGCCCCCAACCCCAAAGGGACTGTTTGCTTTGCCTCCTTTTTTGAGGGAAAAGCCACCTGGCAAATGCAACCCTTCCAGGACTTCAGAGCACGTGTCTGTGAGTGCACGCAGGCCTATGACGCACAACTGTGGGGTGTCGTAGGTTTGGGTAGCAAAATAATGCTGGCATTCACTGGGTGTCTGCCACGTGCCAGGCACCGTGCTGAGGACTTGATGTATATCGGCTCCTTCATCCTCTCTGCAACACTGGGGGCAGGTGTGACCATTTTGCAGGAGAGAAAATGGCCGAGAGAGGTTAACTTGCCAAAGCCACACACCTACTGACAGGTAGAGAGGGGGATCTGGGATTTGAACACAGCCTCGCATGTGCCAAAGCCTGTGCATCTACGCCCAGGCCATGCCACCTATGGGAGGGGGAACACGTTCTCTCTCCGGGAACCTCCAGCACCCAGCCTTGCCCCCCACCTCGCCCTCCAGCCTCACCCTCCTGGCTATGCGCGGGTTCTCCGGGTTGTCCTTCACGGAAATGGTCAGCTTGTACTCCGGGATCCGCTCACGGTCCAGCGGCCGGTTCACAGTGACGATCCCTGTCTGGGGTGTGGAGGGCTGGTGAGCTGAGCGGAGACCTAGGCCCCACGCGGGGCTCTGACACACCTGCCCACTGCTCTGCCTGCAGCTCCAAATCCCCTCCCCCCAAATTGCCTGTGCAATGGTCTAGAAGGCCAAATGTGGGCTGGCAGGGCCTTGCCAGCGAGAGTGACCCACCGATGCCCAGGTCTTGCTGCCTCTAAGGGATGGGCCCTCTGAGGGCCCCAAGGTGTCAGCAGTCTACAGACGTTCCAAGAGGCTGAGTGAGGCCATCCTGGGGCAGACCAAGGGGTCCCAGAGGCTGTGGCCCCGTCTCTGCACATGACAGGCCTCAGGGGTGGCTCCAGGTAGACCCCAGAGATGGCTCACTGGGGAATCCAACACTCCAGGCTCTGCACAGAGACGTCCTCATCCCCGAGGAGGACCCAGGACCGGGAGAAGCCCCGACAGTGGCAGAAGGAAAGCTCTAGGGCAGGGTCCTCTTTTTCACTAGAAACCCTGGGGGTCCCGGGGCCGGGCCCGGCCCTACCGTGGCATTGATGGCGAAGGCCCGCTCGCGGTTGCCCGCGGTGATGTTGAAGGTGAGGAGTGCGTTGCAGCCACTGTCCGCGTCACTGGCCAGGACGTGGGCCACGAAGCTGGAGACGGGGCTGTTCTCGCTAACGGTGACGTTCATGGGCAGGTTTAGCAGCACGGGGTCGTTGTCGTTGATGTCCAGCACCCGGATGCCCACCAGCATCTGGGGCCCGGCGGGAGGGGGAGGAGAGGAGAGAGAGGAGGGGGAGCGAGGGATGGTGGTCATGGCAACCCCAGGGGAAGTGGTGGGGAATGGAGCAGGTTGGCAAAGGGTATCAGAGGAAGGGGAGGCACAGTTGATTGTGGAGGAGGAGGAGGAAGGAAGAAGAGAAAGATCATAAGAGAGGCAAGAGGACGATGAGGAGAGCAGAAAAAGTAGAGGCAGAGGAGGGACGGGGTGCAGGGTGCGGGCTGGGGGGCAGAGGCCTGGCCCAACAGCAGCCTCTCCTGGGTGCTAGGTGAGCCTGAGAGGCACTCGGAGGTCTGTTATGGGACTGGGGGGCACAGGCTGGCTCCAGAGCAGCCTCTCTGGGCACGAGGGTGACAACGTTTACAGGACTGTCCGTGGAGAGTTCAGGGGCCAGCCAGGGGGAGCCAGCGGGGCTCCCCAGACTCACCGTGGAGCTGAGGGGGGGCACGCCCCTGTCGCGGGCACAGAGGGTCAGGTTGTAGAAGGCAATGGTCTCCCGGTCCAGCTCCACGTCCTTCCGGACCCGCAGCACCCCCTCCACGGGAGAGATCACAAACTCCCCTGGGCAGCGCCAGGAGAGGCGGGGGTTAGCCAGGAAAGGCCGAGAGCCGTGGGGAACCCAGGCCTCTCCGCGCCTCCTCGAGCGAGCCTTGCTCACAGGGCTGGGGCACAGCTGGCGCCTGGGCCCTCCAGGGCCCCCACTTAGACCTGCATGGGACCTGCCAAGGGCTGGGGCGTGCAGGTGGGTGAGCAACAGACGCTGGTGGGCCCGGGCCCCCTCACGCCCTCGGAGCCGGAGCAGACCAGCTTTCCTCCCTGGGCCACGGGCAGGCCAGGGATTGACCTGGCTAAGATGTTTGTGTTGAAAAGGTGGGGGCTCCTTTCCCACGCACGCACCCTCCTTCTAACCACTACTGATCAGAAATGGATAAAGGAAGGGATCAGGCTCTCCGTAGTGTGTGATCCCGCCCAGGTACCATGTCTTGTAAAAAAGGATATTGGGAAGGGCAAAGCGGAACGCAGAGGAACGTTTTGCTAACGGTGGCCTCGCAGGCAGGGGGCAGGCAGAGGGGAGGGACAAGGGGCAGGGACACCCCCTGTGGTGAGGCACAGGTGGAGCGCAGAGGGGGTTCTCCCAGGCCTGCAGTGACCCCGATTTCCTTCCCTGATGCTGCTGAGGACAATCAGCTAACCCTCTGTCCTTGGCTTATCTGAGAGCGTCTAGCAGGGGTCCTCAAACTTTTTAAACAGGGGGCCAGTTCACTGTCCCTCAGACCTTTGGAGGGCCAGACTATAGTTTAAAAAAAACCATGAACAAATTCCTACACACACTGCACATATCTTATTTTGAAGTAAAAAAACAAACGGGCAAAAACACCTGCATGTGGCCCACGGGCCATAGTTTGAGGACGCCTGGCTAGAGCGAGAACCTCAGATTCTCAGACTCTGAACTTGGAACCTCAGAGACCATCCAGGCCCTCAGTGTCCTTTGGAAAATGAGTTGGGGGGTCCGGAGAAGGGTGATGGCTTGTCCGCGTTCCTGCAGCAAGCTAAAGGCAGAACCAGAGTCAAACCCAGGGCTCTGGGGCTCGGTCCCCTGCGTCCCACAGGACTGTGGTCTCTCTAGACACCACCACGCAGAGCTGATGGGCGGAGGTGCAGGAGGAAGGGGTGAGGGCGGGGAGGGTGGAGGGGAAGAGGCAGAGGGGAAGGAAACTAGAGGGGCAAGAGGGAGCCCTGCTGGAGTGGAGAGAAGGCAGGGTGGGGTGGGAGGGGCTGAGGCCCTGGCAAGAAGGGGAGTGAGCAAGGGAAGTGGGGAGACCCTGAGGAAGGGGGTTGCCTCTGTGCCTGGCCCCAGGAACTGGAACAGGGTGAAGGTTACTTCCTGTACTTTCCCTTCTGACACTTGGGGAAAAAGGCCCAGAGTGGGACACTGACTTGCTCACGGACACACAGCACACAGGGGCAAGGACAGAGGCCCAAATGCCCCAGCAACTCTCCACCTGCCTCTTCACATCCTAACCACACCATTCCCCCCCCCCCAGTTCCTACCACAAAAACAGACCTTCCGAGTCCCACCTGCAGCTGGGGTTTCCCACCAGCCCTTCCGCTCCCAGGCTCCTCTCCGTCCGTCCACACGGCCTTCGCCCAGCCTGGAGGGGCGGAAGCTGCCTGAAGCAGGATTTCCTGACCCTGATGTTCCACGGTCTCCAAAGAACCGGGGATTCCCTTTCTAGGGGTTTCCCAGCCCTGTCTCAGGCCCTGGCCACCTGCGGGCAGATGGCCTCCTGCCCTCTCTAAAGCCAAGAGAGACACCATCACATTCCCTTAAAGGCTCAGAGTGTCACGGAAGGGTAGGGGCTGGGAAGTGGGCAGGCCGAAGGCCCCCCCACTGCGAATCATCCTCTTCCGCAGCTCGCCCTGGGGCCAGAGCCCCCAGCCCTGCACACCTTCTAGAGTCCGGGGAGGGGGGTAAAGCATAGGCTTTCGGTCCACTCATATCTAAGTCTGTACCTGGGACTTCATTCCTCTGTGCCCCTGGGCATGCTACTGAGCCTTGCCTCGATGTTCTCATCTGAAAAATGGGCTCATAAAGAGATGCCCCCCTCAGGGTCATGCTGGTACTGGATAAAGGCTGGCCCACCTTGTGTGTCATTGGGGAGATGCTGAAAGGGAGCCCAGGCACCCTCTCAGGGAACCGGGAGCTTCCAGAAAGGATGAGGGATACAGGGAAGGGGTCCCAGGAGTGGGCTGGACCAGCAAGGGTAGCTGGAGCTCCTTGGAAGGCTGGAGTGGGTGCGGCCTGTTTCCGAACTATTCTCTGACTACAGAGCTCCTCCTGGGCCTTAGTGGGGCTTGCGAGAGCCCAGTCACCCCGACATCTCCCTACAGACAGGAGCCCCTCCAGGTGACCTTTACATCGGGGTCCCCGGGGTGTGCCCTCACCAGGTGGCATGTTGCTAAACCGGCTCTGCACAGAAAGTGGCCCTGACTTGTAGCATTTGTCACCTGCTCGAGTTACCAATGTGAATGCAGAGGTGGGCGGCGGGACGAGAAATGGATACGTGACCCGTGCCAGCCGGCTGGCTGCAGGACACCATTAGGCCACCTCGCCTCTCTGGGCCTCCACTTATCACTTCTGGGATGGAGGCTGTGCTTGCTGATCCCAGAGTAAGCTTTGGGCTCTACCTGTCTACTCCTCCTGCCTGTGGGGAGGGATCCCCAGCACGGTCCGCCTAGGGAGACTTCCAAGCCCCCTCACACCTTCAGGGAGCCTGCCTTGATCTCCCAGGACACCCCCATAAGGCCCCACATTCCTAAGGCTGGGGGGTTTTGCCGATGACTCCAAAGGCCCATGCGTGGCGAGGTCTGCATTGTGTCGGGGCACAGGTGTGCGCCCTGTACCCCAAAGCTGGGGTGTAGAGAGGGCCCCTCACTGGGCGGGGGCTCAGCCGCCCACCCAGCACCTGCCTGCGCCCCAGGCTCTGGCGCCCTCCTGTATGGGAGCGGGGACTCCCATGACATCACACGACCTGTGTGTGTGCGTGTGTGAAAACAACAAAGAAAGGCCCTTGCCACGCTGGTTTCCGAAGAGGAAGGCACAGCGCTTGCCGGTAGAGGAGACCGTGGCCGTGAACGGGAGGCCTGTCGGACAGTGACCACCGCAGGCCCTGGACAGCGGGGCTCCGAACCACGCCTTCTGGAAGCCGATTGCTTTTGCTTCCAGCCTCTTGATTGCAAATGAACCTCGGTTCAATGTTGTATCCTAAATATCTAAGTATCTCTGCGCTGACAACTCCCACCCTCTCTCCTAACTCCCGGCTTGAACGCACAACCCCGCCCAACCTCTCAAACCTACTCTCGCCTTCCCCCCCCCCCCGCGACCTCCTGCTGCAGTCTTCCATCTGTCAGTGGCAACGCCATCTTCCCAGCTGCTCACGCCAAAACCTTGACTCCCTCTCACATCCCACAGCCAGCCAGCCAGCCCATCCTGCCGGCTCCACCTCTGAAACACACCAGGGCCGGCCACCTCTCACCACCTCCGGTGCCACCACCCTGCCCCAGGTACCCCAGTTCTAGCCTGAGCGACTGCAACAGGCTCCCATCTGGCCTCCCTGCTCCCATCCCTAACCCCTGAGTACAGGAACTGGAATGGCCCTATTAAAACCTAAGTCAGACCAGGTGCGGTGGCTCACGCCTGTAAATCCTAGCACTCTGGGAGGCCGAGGCGGGCAGATCGCTTGAGGTCAGGAGTTCGAGACCAGCCTGAGCAAGACTGAGACCCCTGCCTCTACTAAAAATAGAAAGAAATTAATTGGCCAACTAAGAAAATATAGAAAAAATTAGCCGGGCATGGTGGTACATGCCTGTAGTCCCAGCTACTCGGGAGGCTGAGCAGAAGGATTGCTCGAGCCCAGGAGTTTGAGGTTGCTGTGAGCTAGGCTGACGCCACGGCACTCTAGCCTGGGCGACAGAGTTGAGACTGTCTCAAAAAAACCAAACAACAACAAAAAAAACCTAAGTCAAATCATGTCCCTCCTCTGTTCAAAGACCTCCTATGGTTCCCACGTCACTCAGAGCAAAAGCTAAGCCCTCATGATGGCCCTCGGCCCCACTACTACCACTCTGATCTTATCTCTTCCCATTCTTCCCTTTGCTCAACTTCATGCCAGCCACAGGGTCTTTTACGTAGCAGGCATGCTCTGACCTCAGGGCCTTTGCACTTGCTGTTTCCTCCCCCTGGGAAGCTCCCATCTCTCAACCTCCTTCAGGCCTTTGCCTGTCTACAATTCTGCCTTCACCCTGGCACTCCCCATCCTCCAGGTGGGTTTTATTTTTCTCCACAGCGCTCAGCACCTCCCAATATAATATACTAATTCATCTACTTAATCAGTCGCTTCGTTGTGTCTTCAACTGGAGCATATGCTCTACAGGCGGGAATTTGTCTGTTCTGTGCCCTCAGCACCTGGCACATGGCCGACACGGGGGAGGGACTCAATAAATACTGAATGGTCAATTAAAAATCAGGATATTTCACAAAGATTTGGATTTCTGCTTTTCTTTTAACAAGGGGAAAGCCTGGCACCTGGGCCCGCACTTTGACATGGCGACACCTGGCGGGGCCTGAGCTGCAGCTGCCACAGTCCCCACTGCTCCTTAGCGTCTGTCCTGGACCCTTCTCTCTCCAATGTTCCTGGAATGACACCAGGGGGCTATTGGGGCTTGGGGTTTGCACCCTACAGAAGTGAGTAAAATCTGACTTGAGAAATCACTCCCGAGGCCAGGGCACACGCTGCTCCTCGACCTGGGAGAAGAGCCGTGATAGCTGCGAAGGGAAGGCTACTAACGGGTGCAGAGAAAGCTGGGTGCTCCCTGGATGTGTGCCCAGGGGCTCCGAGGGCCTCGGGCTAAGGAGGCTCCCTCCTTCCTCTGCCCTGGCGCCTTTTCTCTGGGCATGACCTAGGGGCATTTTCAACCAGATTCTCAAAGCGGTCTGTGACCCTCCAAGACCACTAGCCTCTGGTTCCCAGATTCCAGGGTGTTCTCACCGCATCCCTGTGGAGAAGGGGTGGGAGAAGATTTTTCCATCATCTTATGGATGGGGAAACTGAGGCCCAGAGAGGGATAGATTAGATCACACAATGGTGGGGCCAAGTACCGTGAGACCTCCCTTCTCACCCTCTCCTGAGCAGGTGGGAGAGGCCCTCTGTGTCATCCCCCGCCCGCCCCCCAGGGCAGGCCCCACTCACCCAGGGGGTCTCCGTCCACGATGCTGTACTCCACCTGCCCGTTGGGGCCGGAGTCCCGGTCATGGGCCAGGAAGGTCCACACTCTGGGCCCCGGCTGGCCTTCAGTGACATCAAACGGTCCCTCGTAGTCCCGGGGGAAGGTAGGCACGTTGTCGTTGATGTCATTCACGTTCACAAGCACCTGAGATGGTGCACAAGCTTAGGGGGTCCCACCCCCACCAGCCGTGTGCTGGGCCCACCGCTCGATGGGCCTCAGTTTCTTCATCTGTAAACTGGACCCGATAACCCTGCCCCACGGGGCGATGCGAGAGTCACGCGGGATGATGCGTGCAGGTGACTTATTGTTATTGTCAAAGCCTTTTTGTGGGCACACTAATCATAGTGACAATGCTATAAACTTCCAGTTATCGCTGTACTCTGGTCGTTTTACATGGTCTCGTTGCTCCTCCCACACCCAGAAACATACTTTTTAGTATCCCCATTTCATAGGCGAGGACACTGAAGCTCAGAGAGGCTAGTGACTTGCCCAGGGTCACACAGCCAGGAAGTGGAAGAGCAGGGACCCGGAACCCTGTTAGTCTGACTAGTGTTTACGCTTCTCCCACGAAGGGGAGGAAGACATGGGTTGTCACCTGTCTAATAGACACAGCAACACAAAGAGGCTCCGTGACCGCCTCCAAGTCACACAGCTAGTTGGGGTCAGCTGCCCAGACCAGGACAGGGCCCTTCGATTTAGGCATGGCCCTTGGGCAACCTTTCCCCACCTCCCCCACCGGAGCGCTCTGGGCCTCGTCCTCCCCCCACCTCCAAGCTGGGGCTGTGTCCCGCCCACCCACCGTGGTGGTAGAGGTGAGGCGGTGGGATGGGACGAGGCACTGGTCTGTGGCAGTGACAATCAGGGTGTAGCGGCCATGGCTGATCTCGTAGTCCAGCTCCTTGGTGGCAGTGATGACGCCCTGGGGACACAGAAGGGACAAGGGTGTGCCTAGGGCTGGCAGGTCTGGGGCGCCCTCCTCTGACCGACCCAGGAAGCAGGCCGGACATCCCGGCCGTGGCGGGGACTCCTGTTGCCCTCTGTCCCAGGCCCCGCCCGCCGACTCCTCAGCCTCCCACACTGGGGACCCGCGCAGCGTCCTCCTGGGCGCTGCCTTTGCTGCGACCCCTCATGTCACTCGCCCCTCGTCCTGTCCTGACCCTGCCGCCAGCTGCTGACCGTGTGTCTGTCGATCCGGAAGGTGTTGATGATGTTGCCTGCCACGATGGCGTAGGCGACCGTGCCGTTGGGCCCCTCATCCGGGTCCAGCGCCTGCACGGCCAGGAGGCTGGTGTTGACCGTGTCCGGGCCCTCATCCAGCAGCACCTCGTAGTGGGGCTGCTGGAACACAGGTGCGTTGTCGTTCTCGTCCACGATGGTCACGTACACGTGCGTGGTGGCCTGCGGAGAAGAACGCAGTCAGGTCTGTGGTCGGGTGGCTGGAGGGACTGAGGTGGATCTAGATGGCTGTTCTCCTGGGCTGAACTCAGTCTGGCTCAGAACAGGGAGGGAAAGCGAGAAGAAAGCATGGAGGGGAGGGAAGTCACAGGCTGGCAGAGGAAGGAAGCGTAGAAGCTCCACCAAAAGCCAAGCTAGGTAACTGCTCAGGTCCCAGATGGCACTCGTACCACCAAAGCCTCTGTCCGTGCCCATGGCAGACAGCACTAGTCAATCACAGCATTGCCGAGGCCAGGTGCAAACTCAGGATCCTTGCCAGCACAGTGACGTAGTGATTAAAACTGGCTTATGGGATGAACCCCAGTCGTCACCCTGACCCACCCAGAGCTTTGCCTGGGCCAGGGCCCTAGTGGTCCTGGGACTCCTGCCAGACTCCAAGAGGCAAGAATGTGAGGCCACTCAGCTGAACACAATATTTAAGCTTTACCTATTGTTCACATAAATGGAAGAAATACATATTTTCAGCATTTTTTAAGAAGGAAAACATTGGGTTTATGGCGATTTCATGGGCAGAATGTGTTGAGCTATGAAAAACAGAACTCACTGAACACGACTTTGCATCAAGAACAGTCTGGTCAGCATGCTCTGTGACTGGGCATTTCTGGCCGGTGCTTGGGCCAATCAGACCACAAGCAATATCCAGGTGACCCGAACTCAGCAATCAGCACTCAAGAACCAACCGGAAACAGCTGGTGTGGAACTTCACGAGCAGAGTAGAAAGTGGACACAGATAAGCCATGTGCTGGTATCCTTGTCCTCCTCTTGCCTACCCTCTGCCACTCTCCGCCTTTCTCCACCTGGGCAGGTGTCCCCTGGGCACTGACTGCCTTACCCGGGCTCCCCTGCTGTCTGGCTTCCGGAGGGCTTTGGCCAGTGGGAGGTCCTGGCAGGAGACACAGAGAGAGGGAGAGGCGGGCACTCTCCCACACTCCCTCTGTTCCCCACTGCAGTGCTGCCAGTGGCTGCGTTTCTCCTGCGGGTGGGGGGACCCTTTCACGGCTCCAGCTCTCACTTGGGGGGTGCTCCGGCGACACCACCGCCTCTCCATTCCCTTTGGACTCGTGGGTGGCACGGCTTCCTGCGGTCGGCTGCTAGTCTCCGAGGCTTCACCGGCCCTCTCTAGATAGTCTTGCCATTAACTCTCTCCAGGTGAGTCCTTTTTGAGTGTGCCAGCTGCTTCCTGCCAGGACCTTGACTAACACAAGCCATAATTAGTGACTAATGTAAATTAATAAGATGATAACACCCGCAAAGATGCCTGGGTAGAGAGAGAATGTGACTAGACCATTGCCAAGGCCAGAGAACAGAAAGCAGCTGGCACAAAAAGCTGACTGCAGACAACTTGTGTACAACTTTTTCCTTAGGCCTGTCTGGTTCTGGTGAGTGATGGACAGGCAACCTGGACCCAAAAAGGCTGTCACTGCCCCTGAGGAGGTGACAATTCCTCTGACCTGTGGCTCTGGATCTTGGGGGCAAGGTGTATTGAGTGGTTGCTGAAACTGTTTCCAAAGCAGGTAGGGTTGGCACCTTGAAATGGAGTGGTGTGACCTTGGGCAGGTCGCATTCTCTCTCTGGACCTTTTCTGTCTGTTAATAAAGGACCTGGCTTGATCTCTAAAGTCTCTTCTAGCTCAGACATTCTGGGCTTTGGTCTGTTGTCATCAGCCATGTGGACTAGATCCCCCCCATTAGAGAGGTGGCATTCCTCTGGGTTGCAAAGCCTCAATAAATCTTTATCAAAATAGCAAAGCATACAAGGAGGGAAAATGCCTTATCTTAGCATTTCTCAAACTTTTCCACCAAGAGAGGAGAGGGAACTCGCAGAGTCGGGGGAACAGCCTGAACTGTTTGTCTCAAGAATGAAATATCTTTGAAATCTCTCATGTTCTCACTGAAAGCTCTTATGGATCCTACATCCTTCTTCGTAATGTGTTTGCTTTCATTAAAAACAGTAGGGAGGTCCCAGATATTTGAGTAAAAATGACTGTCACGGAAGGCTAACATGTTCATCTGGTGGCGTTGCAGGGTCCTGGACGCAGCCGTGAGCTCTCAGCACCCGCGTGAGCCCAGGCTTGGGTGCTGAGCCCCTCCACCTGCCGGCAAGAGCACAGGAGCGCCACCTGCAGGAAAGGGCGGGACTCCAGCCTCACCCGAGGGATGGAGGTGCTGGCGTTTCCCACACTCCCAGACTCACCTCCCAGATGCCCTGGAGGTGGTCCAACCACGGTGCCGGCTGACGGGGTTGGGAGTGGAGGGTTCTAAGATAATTCACCCTCCGAGCCCTCTTGCTCTGAGACCAGGGGAGGTGGGTCTGACTTCCTCTGGCCTCGGAGTGAGGAGGAAGTCAGTGCCCCGAAGGCCCTCTCAGCTGAGCTCTTCCTGCTGCCTGGTGTTGAGGAATCAGTGCTTGAGGTTCCTGAACCATGCCCCTTGGGCAATGCCTCTGTCTTCCCCTGACACAACCCCAGGAGGCTCAGTGGTGGGCAGCCTGGTGGGGAGGAAGGAAGTGGCAAGGAGGAGGGGACTGGGCCCAGCTCAGCTGCTCTTGCCCCCTGGGGAAGGGTTGGCAGGGCAGTTGCTCCATCCCTCTGATCCCAGCCTCCCCCTCCTGCCTTTGGCCTGGGCAAAGGGAGTCTAGTTGTAAGGGTGGCCTGGGCAAGGCCAAGCCAGGAAGTGTTGAGAGTGGGGAGTACTCTAGGGTCTCACCCCTGAGTGACCTCATCTCACCTCTGCCAGAGGATGGCCTGGAGGGAAGAGTGCCCACCGTCTACCTGATCTCAGTTGGCTTTGTACCTTCTCTGGTGGAAGAGAGCTCACATTTTGCCAGCAGAAGGGGCCCTGGGCTGTTTCCCAAGGTGGAGTCATAAAGTCAGGACCATGTCCAAGGACCTGGAGTATATCCTGGCAGCCTCTAGGCTCCCATCCCGGGGCAGTTCTCCAGTTCCAGGGGCCTGAGCCTGTACAAGGCCACCTAGTACACATGACACCCTACCCTTCCTCTGTTATAGCCTTCCCTGGCCCCAGAGCGAGGGCTCAGAGCCCCCAGAGAGCCTGTGACTTGGATCAGGCTACCCTTGGTGCACCCCAAATTCCTAGCTCCTGTTCAGACACTGCCTTGCTTCCTGACAAGCTGGACTCTGGCTGTCTTCTGTCCTTCAGCCTGGGGGTCACCTTTGAACTCAAGATCCCTCAGGGGCCAGCAACCCCCCTTGGTGGCTTCAACCATTCTGGGGTGACATGGGTGAAATGGCTACATCCTCCCACTCCCCAGTGCCTGGTCCCAGCCATGGTCACCTCCATTCCTCCATCACACACTCACTTATTCATGGTCTGCCCATCAGATAAGAGTGCAGTGAACATCCTTTCCACACCCAGCTCTGTGCCAGGGGCTCAGAAACATCAGGGAGAGGCTGTGGTCCCCAAAGGTTTGTAGTCTAGCTTGGGAGGGCAGAAGAGCCAGATGACGAACCAACTGTTTGGTAACCTCGGGCCTGGTATGACAGCTGCAGGGACTGGGTGGGGGCGAGGGGAGGGTCAGGGCACTTTGTGAAGGAGAAGGGCTTGAGCTGAGCCCTGAAGAATGAGAAGAATGTGCAGAAGAGAGGAGAGACATCCCCGGTGGTGCTGGCAGTGCCTGAGAGTGTCCTGCGGGTCTCCAGGGCACCAGGAGGTGAGAGCTGGGGACACACCTGAGAGGCAGCTGAGATGCACCAGCAATGTGTGTGTCCCGGTAGGGATGTGCCCGGCCTGCTGTGTGCTCCGGCACCTGTTGTTCGTGCAGGCCGAGTGTCTCAGGCTCTGCATCTACTGTCAAGCTGGATCCAACTTGCCAGCTCTTCACAAAGGCAGATTCCATTCGTTCCTTCCTTCCTTCATTCATTCACTCAGTCCACAACTGGGAGCTGCTACCGCGTACCAAGCCCTGGGCTGGCTGGAGGAGGTAGGGTCCAAGTCCCTGTCCCCAGACCGCTCAAAGGCTGGTGGGTGAGGCAGATACACGCTGGGATAACCCGCGCCACGCTAGGTTAGACACAGATCTACTTCTAGGCGGCACAACGATAATCCTCTCCGGAACGGACTGGGGGGCAGTAGAAAGGGTTTACACTGGCGACCAAGTGGGGCGGACCTGCCCGAGACACGCCGGCCGGGAAGCCCCGCCCGCGGGCCTCGGGGAGGCAGTGCGCCCTGCGGCCCCCCGGGGGCGCTGCGGGGCTGGAGCGGCCGCCCGGGCCGCCCGCCGCCCTCAGTCGCTCGCACTCACTCGCGGGAGGTGTCCCCGCGCGGCCGCGTCCCGCCCGCTCCCCGGAGTTTCCCTGCGTGCCCGCGCCGCGCTCCTGCCCGCAGCGCCAGACGCCGCTCCGCCGACGGCGACATGGGCGTCCCCGCGGCCCCCGAGGCCGGCGGCCGGCGCTGGGGGCCCCTGCTCCTCGCTCTCTTCCTGGCTGCGTCCCGAGGTAAGGTCGCGGGAGGCTGGGCGCCCAGGAAGAACGCTGAGAAAGGACGGCAGGTCGGGCTGGGGGCCGCAGGACGGGCGCCTCCTGGGAGTCCCCTCAGCTTGTTGTGACCGTGCACCCTACTCCACCCACCGCCCGGAGGCTGCTGGGACCGCTGGGCAGGGAGAGTGGCAACCCTGCCAAGTGCCCCAGCTAGGCACTGGGGCATCCGCACGCTCTGACAGCTGCCCAAGCAGCAGGCAAGGCTGTCCCCTAAGGACTGCCTGTCCAACCCTTCCCTGCCCTGAGAGCCCAGGACACAAGAGCTTCTCCCGAGCAGGAGAGGGACAGGGCAGCCCCAGTGTGTTTTAGAGGATGTGACAGGCTTTTGACAGCCGGCATTGCCCTGCCCCTCTGGCCTTAGGGCTCCGGAATCGCAGGGGGTGCTGCCCTCTCAGCCAGTGCTGTGCCTTGGCGACACTTCTGGCTGACCCTTGGTGAGCACTGGTCCACTCCCAGACATGGGCAGCACTGCCCACCTGGTCCCTGCCACCCTGGCGAGGCTGAGGCTCGGGGAGCAGTGTGGGACGCTGGGAGGACGCAGGACATCTCCCAGCTCAGCACGAGCCCCTTTGGAGTCCCTAACTCATGGCGTCTCTCTGGACTCAGCTCAAACACACCAGCCCCACACAGGGAAGGACCCCTTTCCCCTTCCAAAGTCCAGGGTGTCCGGATGGTATAGGGGCTCCCGGGGTGAGGGGAGAGGCCCTGGGACCCCCTGCCTGGCCCTGGTTCTTGACTGCCTAGAGCTGAAGAGGCTGGATCTCAGGGAAGCGGGGGCCGGCAGGCAGCCTGCGGAACCAGACTTTATGGGAAGGGACCAGGGAAATTATGAGTCACGCAGGAGTCAGAGGTCTTGGCAGAGGGACCCAATGGGCGGGCTGGAAGAGGAGGAGAAGGAGATGGATGAGGAGGAGATGAGGAGACTGGGAAAACCTGGAAGACACCTCAGAAACAAACTGGGGTACCTGCTGGCAATGTGTCAGCTCAGCACTCAGAGGCCGGCCCTGCACCTCTGAGGAGGGGCACCCCAAGATGACAGCCAGAGGGAAGGGGAGAGTGGGGGGTGGGGGTGGACGGGGGGCAGTCTGGACCCCAAGGCCATGCTCATGGCAGGGCATGGCTTCCAGAAGGATAGTGGCAGGCAGGAAGACCAGCACCCTACCCTCCATGGGCCACCTGCCCTGCCTCATCTTCCCCACCTGACCCTGTGAGGCCCTTCGTGTTTTCTTTCCCCCTTCCTGCCCTTAGAGGGCTGTTTTCTGTTCAGCAGCCCTTCTGCAAACTGGGTTCTAGAGGACCAGAATCCAGCTTGTGGAGTATCTGGTAGCCGAGCAAAGCCCCTCACCCTCTATTGCCTACAGACCTAGCAGCTTTCACTCCCAGAGGTCTTGGCTACTCATACAACTTAGTGCACCAAAGGGCCATCCCTTCCTGGCTCCGGCTCAGGGAGCTAATTACTGCTTGCTGTGCTCTCAGGAGCATTCCCCTAGCTTTAACTGCTCTGGGACGCTTAACTGTAACACAGGCACACCGACAGACATTCGTCCAACTACCCAGTACAGTGTGCAACTAGGGAGATGGCCGGTGGAGGCCTGGTCGAGGGAGGCCAGGAGGGTCTGTGAGTTGGGAAGAATGCCCACGGAACTGCTGAGGTGCTGGGTCGCCCTGGGCAGGGTTGCTAAAGGTCAAAGCCTTTGTGCCTGGGAAAGTGAGATGGAGTGGCAGGTACAGGCCTGTTCTTCCAGCTTTTGGGGCTGGGCCAGCACCGAGGAGAATGGTAGTGGTGAGTGTGCTGTTCAGGAGCCCAGGAAACACTGAAGATACTCTTTCCTGGGCCTGACTCAGGGTGAGATGGGTGCAGGGGGGCACCTAAGGAGCCAGGACCCAGCAGACCCCAAGGGTGGCAGAGCCTCTTCTTCCCCCTGGGCATTCCCAGGACTTGTGGAGGTTAATATCGTTGCCCTGTCCTTACAGGCTGACTCAGGAGTCCCAAACTCTGGGAGTAGCACTTTCAAGCTCATAAGGGTACACTGAGGCTAGGGAGGGAAGACCCACCTTCCCCTTCACAGTGAGCCAGGCTGCAGGACCCTGTTGAGTAACCCAATGCTGCAAGGCTCTGACACAGCAATGGTCAGCTCTTAGGAAATCCACACCCCGCTGCCCAGAGGCCCTGGAGTGGAGAAAAATAGCCTGAGGCCAGTCCATGGCACGAGACACATCTGCCAATGCCAGGGACAGCCAGGGGCCAGCAATACCGGGAGCTTCCCGCTGAGCTGGGCTGGTTGCTCCTGTTTCCCCCCAAGCAGGGCAGAGGTTCTGCCAGGGCCTGACCTCCACAAGGTGGAGGGTGGCCCAGGCAAGGTGTGCATTGCTGGGAAGCTAAAAGGGGCCACCACCCTATATGCACACAGTGTGTGGGGTCTTAGACCTGAGCAGAAGGAAGGAAGGAAGGGGTCCCACACACTGAGCTTGAGACCCCAGGCCTTAGGCCAGCGGTTGATCCAGGGTCAGTTTGGCCTCACCAGAGGAGGGTAAGCCAGGAATCAGCACTGTGGCTTCCGATGGGCAGCAGTCCCTGAGCAGCAGTCCTGGCACTTCCAAAGCCTTCCTGATGGCATGCTGTGCGGGATGGGAGAAGCAAGGGACCTGGGGTTGTGTGCCCTTCATGCCAGGGCTTCTGTACAGCCCTTTGCTGTTTGGCTTTTGGCCACATACTGCTCTGTGACATTGGGCAAGTTTCTCAGCATCCCTGAACAAGTTCCCCCATCTCTAAATGGGGGTGATGATAGCACCTCCCTCAGAGGGCTGCTGTGAAGAGCTGATGAACAAACACTTCACATACACCTGGCTTGCTGTGAATGCTGTGTGATATTGTCACGGCTTCCAGGGGCCACATGCCATTGGCTTCCCCTCGGAGCTCCTTGCTGCCTACGGGGCCCTGTGGTGCCCAGGGCATGGGAAGGCATTGGCTGATGGCTCTAAAATCCTGGAGTCTGAAGGATGCAGCTTCAGACTGGGTGCAGACTTCAGACTTCGGGCTGGGTGTAGCCACCTATAATAAGTCTGAAACGTCCACGGAGGTGCCCACAGGTTGTCCTGTTCACATCTTGTCCACGTGTAATTCAGTAATGAAGTTGCTATGCCGCTCACCAAGCAAGCTGAGTTCCTTTAACCTTTCTACATTGGATTTTATTTTCCACGGGGACCAGGGAGCCAGCTGTTCGCTCTGCTGTTCACTTGCTGTGGGACCACACACACTTCCCCTTTATCTGTGCACGGGCTGGGTGGCATGTTCTCAGTGAGGCTGACCTCTCTCTTCTGAAGGGTAATTCCATGATGGTGTTTCCCGAGCTTCAGTCGTTTACTTAGCACCTTTATGATCTCTGCAGTGTCTGCCTATTATCATATTTACTTATTTTTGCTTTAAATCTATTCTTTTTTTATTGAGTGAGTAGATTTTAAAAGGAAACTTTATATCACTGCTCTAAGTGGAAAGCCAGTATCACTGGCCATAAATAGAACAAAACCATAAAATACGTAATAGGAAAACCAAATAAGGGTATTAAATTCTAGTTGGAAACTTTAGCCTGGGGAAGTCTCTGAGTCTGAAACCTGCTGTTGTCCCTTGCAAAATAAAATAAAAATAAAATAATGAGATTAGCAAGTGAGAGAGAGAGATGGTTTGGTGACATATTGGCATCAAACTGGGACTTTCACTTTGATGTAATCAAGACTGAAAGAGAATTGAAAAGGGAATAACCTTCTCTATATATGATTCAACGCTATTTAATGTTGTAAAACCAAAAGTAAAACTACCCATGTTAGAGATGTAGCCAGGGAAGCTGGGGCCACCTCATTGGCCAGGCCATCTGTCCATCTGCAGGAAGGAGGCGGGGCTTCCAGTCAGCCCCTGGCCACCTCGGGTCTCTAGAGAGCAGTCAGATGGCACCAGGCCCCCAGGAACTAACTGCCTGGGTTCAGATCCTGGCACCATCACTTACTGATTGTGAGACTCTTGGCAAGCTACTTAACCTCCCTGTGCGTCAGGTTCCTCACCTGTAGAACGCAGGTGATATGAGTACCTGTCTCGTAGGGTGGGAGGATTAATTAGGTAACAAATCCACGTAAAAGTGCTCAGAAGGATGTCAGCACAAAGTAGTGACCCCGCTACTGTTAGTACCAGCGATCCTCCTGTCCTGATGGCAGAGGACAGAAAACCCTGAATCTGAGCCTTAGCAAGTCTTGGCAGCACGAGGTCAGGAGGGCAGCTGGCTGGAGCTGGCGGCCTGGGCCATACACAGGCCTTCTCGGGGAGGGCCTGGCGCTTCTGGGAGGGTCATTCGGAGAAGCGTCCACCGGTAAGGGCCTCTGGCCAGCTGCCCAGGCCCTCCCGGGGAGCGCGCTGGCCTCCAGCCTCCAGCCCCGGATGCATGGATGCTTTCCCAAGGTGCTGGAAATGCGGCTTCCTCCAATAGAGCCTGGCTTCCCCTTCCCGGCCTCCCTGGTCTGATGTGAATGGACACTTCCTGCAGGGGCAGGTATCAATAAACACATCTGAGATGCCCTTTGTCCTCGTGGGCTGGAGAGGCCCACGGGCAGACTTGCTGGCTTCAGGCCCTCAGCCTTTGCCCCGGGGCACCTCCCTTCTTAGTGCTGGCAACTCTGTCCTGATCAGTCCCTGCCTCTGTTTCCCCCTGTGCTCTTCATCTTGATAAAGACACAGCCTGGTCTTTCCCTACGGCCCCTGAGGACCATGCTGGCGGATGGACCCTGGTGGGGAGCTGGAACCAGCTGGTCCCATTTCTCTTTGGGATCCTCTGTGCAGCCAAGGACTGGGTCTTTGGCATCCAGTGCAGGGCCAGCAACAGCAGGCGATTAATAACTGTGTGCTTGGCACCCCCCTAGCAGCTGGACAGAGTTCAGCTGTTTGAGTGGGGCCTCCTAGGCCCAACTAACTA